TTGAGACCCGGGTTAGAAGACCCCCTTGGGGTCCCGAACCCATTGTTAAAAACTCGACTCGATTTGGTTAGGTTTGGACCATTCTATGACCCCAAACGTGACCAAGGGTTCTGCAGGCGGTTGAATGCCATACTTCTACCTTAAAACGTTTTAGTTGTTTTGCTGTGTTTAAAACAGGGATATTTTCAGCCTCATCTTGGACGCACATAGGCTTGCGGCCGTTTTGGTTGTTTTATTCTTTTTTAAAGTGGTTTTAAAATCGGAGGGGGGGTCCATTTCCAAAAATAAGGGGTGTTTTAGGCACCTCTCGACGAGCTCTATCCGTTGGTTATAAATAAAACCTTAGCGCTATTCGTTTTATGCGGTTTTAAAAAAATAAGACGAATAAAACACAAGGTGTTTTAAAACTTGAGTTGCCACCTCGTGGCCAGGCTGCAAAACGCACCCTTCGGAGGCAGACGAAGGCAGGCTTTAATACTGGAGAAATTAACTTTTCAAAGAGACTGAAACCCGACTGAAAGCGAGGCGCTCAAAGAAAGCACTCAAAGCTGTAGCATGTAGTCCATGAGTCCATGTAGGGGGCGGCCACCGCGGCGCGACCCCGACAAAGTTGAAATTGCCGGCGGCTGGCCGCGGGCCGGCCCGCCCGGCCCGGGGCTCGGGATCGACGGCGCGGGCGGCCGGCCTGTGCGCCCGAAACCTCGCGTAACCGTTGAGCCTCGGGCAGATTCGAACTTGAATTTGCCGCAGGTTTCGTTGAAAGAGAACAGCAGAAAGCTACCGTACAGCAAAGCATGGCGGCCCGGGCTGGCCTTCAGGCTTCAGCAGAACAAGGAGAGGAGCTCAGCTGCCATGAAGGCGATCTACTAGGTACCGTAGACGGTAGCAAATCTTGGTGGGAAGAAGATATGGCAGTACTAGCAGGAATTGGTAGGCTGCGCCGGGCGCTTCTGGAGGTCTGCTGAACACTTTCGGCATGGTGAGAAACCTACCGACATTGTCAGATGTCAGATGGAAACTGCCGGTGCACCGCCGAGCATCACACTTCACGTCTAGCAGAGTGACACTTAAAAAGGAATTGTGTCAACAGAGAATCACAATTCGGGTGGAAGTTGATCATGCTAATTTGCGTAACATTCCAGAAACAATCAACTCCCCGCAATTGGCTCTTTCTGATCAAATATTCACAACTGTTGTAGGTCTTGGAAGGTCTTTTGTCTCAGAGCAGCCTTGGAAGTTCATCAATCATTCCTCACCTCCTTGCAGGCACAACGATGATCAGGCCGTCAGCCAGTTTGCCCCTTTCGGCGGAGAACTCCAGCCTGGTTGAATGCTAAGCGACTTCTTGCTGTACCAAAAAGATGGACTCAGAAAACAGCTCTGCTGAAGGGCATGGAAAGGCTGGATCAAGTGGAGCCGATGTTGCATCCAAGGCATCTGCGCCTTCATCAGAGCCTGCCCTTGGAGAGTCGCTAGGAGCAGCAAAGTGCAGAACACCCATAGCATCTGCTAAGACACCGATAGCACATCGGAAAACCCCTTGGAATGTTACTCCTAGAACCACTGCAACCACCCCTTATGCCAAGTCCTTCCTTGCATTGAAATCGCCAAAGGTGGCTGAAGTCCTGCGGCAGGCAGATACCGCAAGGCTTGAGGCACGGTATCACCTCAAGGTTACAGAGTTGACGAAAGCTGATGCAGCCATCAAGAAGCTGACAGCAGAGGTGGCGGAGGCAGCGGTTTTCAAGCAGTTGCTTGCTGAGAAGGAGGAGGAGCTGAAAACTCTGAGGGAGGAGCAGAGAGCTCTGAGGGAGGAGCTGAGGGACTCAAAGCAGGAAACAGAAGAGCTCCAGGTAAGGAATCGTTTTTTAGGAGGTTGTGAACTGATGGAGAATTCTGAGCAGCAGTAGGACCCTCAACTATGCTTGTGCCTTTGACAGAAGGAAAGGACTTTGACAACTTGCCCTTATCAGACACAACTAGGTAGAGATAGGTGCTCTACTTACAGAGATGAATCAAGATAGAGGAAAGCAGACTCACACGGTGGATGGGAGAGCAAAGCAAATCTGACTAGGATCCAACCATTTGTTAAAGATGAGGAAGCCAGAGAACTCTTCAATTCCGCAAACCAAAAGCCGGCCTCATTCAGCAATATTTGACAGGGCAGGAGGATAGCAGGTCTAGGACCTCTGGTCCAAGAGTTTGATATGGTGTGGATTTTGTCGGTTTACTGTGATGGGGGCCATATGAGCAAAGGCGGGCCTTGCAGCTTGTTGCAGCCTACTGATCTGAATCAGCTCTAAGATCAGACACTCAAGCAGGTGCACTAGAACCGAGCCTTTGATATAGACTAGTGTTGTTTCCACTTTGTGCATGATTGGATCACTTGGCCCTGCAAGGACACTCTCCAGCCTGGCCAGCAAGAGCAGTCCACAAAGTACATCCAAGTGTCCTGCAGAAGCTACTGATGCACAGCGGCAATGCAATCAGCGGCTTTCTAACCACGGTTCTCCCATCCTGGTGCAGAGGGATCACTCAGCGCTTGTGGAGAAGCATTCTTCCCTGGCCAGCGCCCATGCCGCAGCCCTGGAGTCTGCTGCACAGAAGGAGCGCCTCTTGCTCAAGGACCAGCAGGCGGCCAGCAACCAGCGCATACGCGAGCAGAGCCTAAGCCTGCACACGATGACTGACATAATGTCGATGACGCGGCGGGGTCTGGCGCTGGCGCAGACGATGCGGCGCACGCACTCAGTCAGCTCCCCAACGAACGTGCACAGCCTGAAGGAGAGCCTGATGACAAGGAGTGCAGCGGTGGGGGTGGGTGAGAGGGCCGAGGGGCGTTTTCGGGTTGAGAAGGGAACGGGGCTTGCAAGTGCTCTTGGTGAGACGAGCAAGGAGAGTCCTAGCACGGACGAGGGGAACACGTCAATTGACACTGCAGAAGGGGAGCTTCAGAGGGAGCCGTCGCTGATGAGCATCGCTGCCTCGTCCAACGTCCTGGAGGCCGCCATAGTTCATATCAGCCCGCTCTTCCTAACGGACGTTGCTGAGGCGAATGCCCCCACAACCAGTGGTTCAAACGTGGCGCACTCTGAGCTGACCCGTGCTGCCCAAGAGGAGGAAGGGTTTGAACTAGAGCTGCCGATTCCAGGGGAGCTGAGCTTTGATGACGGGGAACTAGCAGGGGGGGACCTCGGGAGAGATGGAGCCTCGCGGAGAGCCTCTGAAACCGAGCGGAGAGAGTCTGACGTGACGGCAGGAGATGGGAGGGGGCCAGCTGACAGCGCGGGGACTCAAAGCAGCCCAGAGACGGACAGCCTGAAGCAAAGCTTGACTGGTCTGCAAGAGGAGGAAGACGAAAGGGGAGAAACCAGAGGAGTGTCAACGGAAGGGGCTGGATCTGCTTCACTGACCATCTCCCAATGGAGTCCTCGGTCGTCCCCGCTTGTGCTGACGTCATCAGATCGGCGGAGAGAGAGCAGGACATCTGGCAAGGGCAAACGAGGCGCCGAGGAATCGGGCATGCGGTCATCCCCCCGGAGTGCTCTAGCATCGATCCAGAACCTGGGGTTAGCCTCATCCTCCGTTTTGACTAACCCTCGCAAGCCAAAGTACGCCCCATCCCCCGACGTTGAGAACAAGACCCCGGACGCTCAGCTAACCCAGGGGGTTAAGGAGGGAATGCCAGTGGGCCGGCCGCTGTCAAGCAGCCTGGGCAAGCACTTCTCGCCGAAACGGTCTTCACTGGGTGCGGCTGAAAAGCCATCAGCTGTTTCTCATCTAACCTCTCCCCTGGTCCCCAAGCCTTCGAGCATCCTGAGCGGGAACTGCCACTTTGATCCCGGCGCGCTCGGAGGCAGGTCCCCAATCGTTGCGCGCTTTGCCGAGAAGAACTCCCCCCTCCTGCGAGGCTTCCGCCTCAGCCAGGCCTTTGCCAAGCCTGTCGACAGCCCCTCCCGCTTCCAGGATCCCAAGCCCGCACACTTTGGGGGGGTCGTGACCCCCTTGGGAACCTCCCCCCCAACTGCACGAAGGCTGCTTGTCGACACCCCTCCGAAGGAACCGGTCAACCCAGAAAACCCCCCGGTCAAAACACCAGAGGTGGAGGCCGAATGCAAACCCCCTGTTGCGAGCCCATTCCTTGGCTGGCCGATGCCCGCACTCGCAGAGATCATGAATGCAGTCGCCCCTACTCCGAAAGCTCCCCTGCCTGCTTCTGGTGCGCAGCCCTCTCAGCTGCTCTCGCCTAAAGAGCCAGTCACACCAAAGGCGCTGCTAGCCCGGGCCGACTCTCTCGGGGGTTCGCCTTACTTTGCGGATCTGACAACGCCTGTCCAAAGCAGCGCTCCTTCCGAGCGGTCACTGGCCATATCAGGAAGCACAATGGACGGACAGGCAAAAGGGAGCGGGTTCACGTGGGGCCTCAAGGTGAGGATCGTAGGGTTTAGTTGTTCTGATCACTTCTGCTCCTCGAAGCTAGTAAAGGTTCCTGAGAAGAAGGTCAATTGTTCTTTGTGCGCTGTTTTTGAAGAGACGTTGGAGTTCCAAAATGTTCACTTTGACACATTGCCTGCTGAACAACCGCAGGAGAAGGATTGATTCATTCAGCCGCTTCGTCAGCAAGCCTGCTCGATGCCAACTTTTCTTCCGGTAGACGAAAACTGCCACTCTAGATCCACTAGCATTTGCAACAAGCATGCCGACCGCTACCTGTCGTCCCTAAACGTGGTTACGCGCGTGCCTCCACTTGCAGGAGCCCTCTCCACAGTTGCCCAAGCTTCCCGGCCTCGCCCTCCCCCCCAAGCCGCTCCTCGACTACTCCGGTCCTTCCTCAAGGAAACGAACCAACTTCGGGGCCGCTGCCTTCGAGGGTTTCGGCGACGTGTCTGGCCCGAACAGGGACCTTCGGCTTGACGGCTTCGAAGGGTTAAGCAAGGGTTTGGGCGAGGTTCCGGCTGAGACCGTGCAAGGGTTTGACGCTCCCAGGAGAAGTTTGGCAGGGATTGCAGGTGAAGTAGAGTCTGAACCTCCAACAAGGAGCGGAGGGGCGACAGAGATTGAGGAGGAAGAGAGGGCGCCGTCGCAGGCGAAAGGGGTTGTGAGGCAGCGTGTCACAGCGTTCGAGCAGGGGACAATGACGTCAGCTGGGGGTCCGGTGCGGAGGCTGCGCCGGCAGGGCCGGCTCTCGAAGGAGCTGGGGAGGACACGTGGCAGCACCGCAGAAGGCGGAGAGCAGCCCGCAAAGGAATGGGCGGCCCACGGCGCTGGCGCTGAGCCGAACCGCCCTGTTCGAAACGTCACGCTGAAAGACATCACGTCGAAGCGACGCGGCTCTGCCGACTCGGCCAGCGGATCGCTCCCCAGAACCCCCGAGATCGTCGAGTTCGCTCCCGTTTCCCCCCCATCCGGCGCCCCCCAGACCTCCTCGCCAGTCAACAATCCCCGAGCGCCCCACCCCGGGGGAGTGGGTGTATGCTCCGTGCTCGTGGTTCTGGAAGAAGGCAAGAAAGGCTCCGCTCGGAGCGCGCAGGAACCCCCGAACGTTATTGGTTGCATCGAGGTTCCGAAGACGACGACTCTGGCGGAACTGAGGGACCAGATCCGAGGAGAGCTGGGGGCCAAGGGCCCCGAACGGTTCGCGTTTCTGCAGGCGGGGATTGGTGCCACGTGGCACGCGTTCAGTAGCGAGATCGAGGGTCTGGTGACCGCGTTAACACTCCCAGTCGCGGACGGGCCCTACCAGTACCTCGCAGGTGAGACGAGAACGTCTTGGCAACAAAGATGACCTCAACTTATATGCGGATGATGCAACATTTGAATGGGAACGCGGCCCAACTCCAGCTTTCCAGGAATTTTGCGGATTCGCGGTCTGACTTGCAATCAGGGCTAGTTCTGCGAGGAACACTTCCTCAGTCGTCGGCAGATAGAGCACTTGCAATCTTGGAGGCTTCGTCTGCTTGCGCACGATTTAGATAACATCGCATGCATAATTCTCGTGTCAAGGAGCTCGAACTTGCGGCTCCGCTTCTCTGGTATTGCATTACAAGAGCTTTGAGAGCTCCATGAACAGGTGAAAGGGGCACCAATGTTATTAGAAACTACACGCGAATAATTATCAATGTCACCGCTCCACAGATGCCCCGCTGATATGGTACCTCAATCAATCGAATCTGGTATGGGGAACTCTGTACCTTGCTCCTTGATCCCCGATTCTGATCGCTGAACCTTTCGCACGGCCGTACAGCCACTCCGCGTGGCTTATAATGCCCAACCTTACTATTTCTGCGCATAACGGTCGAGAAAGGGCGGAAGTCAAGGTAGCCCAAGTTCAATTCTGATCTGATCACGAAAGAATTGTCTTTCAGGTGAGGCGGCAAATCCGCCCATCTCCGCGAGCCCTCCAGTTCCCAGCCCGACTCGGCACGCCGTCCGATTGGCAATCCTGCGGCCTCTCCCCGTGACGCGGACCCTGTATTCTGCGAACGGACCGAACGGAGTGGACCGGAATGCGGCCGCCGCGACAAAGGACGGTGCAGGACGAGGCCTTGTTGGACGGCCGGCAGAACCCGGTGAGCTCAGAAGCTCTCTAGTTCACAGTTCTTCATGAAGGTTGAAAGTTTGCGCAAGTTTGGAAGGAGATAACAGAGAGAGACTTCGTGGAATATATCATTCAGGGTTGCTATCGCTGCAAGCATCTCGCGAGAGAATCTGAGGAACTCCCTTAAGTGAGCGCTTCAGCGGTCGAAGAGCGCTCTGCCTCCCAGGAGGATTTGGCGGGGCGCTGGTTTGGGACCTTTCCCACCGCGAGGCGTACAGCTTCTCTTTGAACTCCTTGCAAGCACTGCCGTCCAAAGAAACTCTAGTCAAGCTACGAGTATCATGGTGTCGAAAAGAGGAATTGGTTGCCTCGTGAGCGGCTTTAGTTCCGATCCTCAAACATTGCAACTTCAGAGGTCGCTAAGAGTTAAGGCGATTTTGAGGACCTTGACTTTGCTTCTTTCGATCCATTTTTGGCGAAACGTCGCACTCCCCTGCCTCTTTGACTCTTCCCTTAGCTTCGCGAGTCTTCTTCTCCTTCCAGGGGAGGCCCTTTCGGGCCAAGGCACGCGCTCGCGTCTGCAGAACCAGGCGCCCAGATTCGCAGGCCCTTGGGCTGCAAGGCCCGCTCCAGCGCTGGCGGGGCTGAGCGTCCGCATGACGGGCGGGCTGCGCGAGGTGGCCATCGCGGACGCGGCCCGCCGCGAGAGCCGGCTGCGGTCCAGGGATAAATGAAAGTTAGCCCTGGCTTGTTGTCGGTGGAGACCGTACTGAGAGGGAGGGGTCTGATGCAACTCGCCAGGGCGCATTCGAACGAGAGCTGTCGAAAGCTCTAAGCACTACAGATATTGACAAGAAGTCCTGGTCCTGGGACGCAATTTCGAGAGCTTAACGTTGTAGTTGCACAATCCTCATAACTGTAAGTCGAAGCTATATGTATCAAGGTCTGTACTCAGTAGACAGGGTAGCCAACAAGAGTCAGAAAATTTAGTGTCACTGCCTGCTATAAGCATATAGCCTTGTCCAGTAAGGTCGCCGTGAGGCAAACGACACAATATTTAGGGTTTTGATCCTCTTCTCAAACGGTGGAAGTGAAGCGATACATTTTGTACTGCATGATGGGTTGCCGGTAAATTGGATGCGCATAAGTATCTCTCGCACATTATAGCAACGTCATGACCCGCCAGGGCATGCGTTTGAGTATGACGGTGCATGCATCTATCTTAGTGATGAGCCGCGCAGGATATAATTGTCGCACGTTCGGCTAAGAAGCCTCCTGGAGGAGGGGCCCCCCTCGGCGGCCGGGCCTGTTGTTGCCTTATTGAACCGTCGTGGCACTGTTAAAGTGGACGTACACAAGAACGTTTCGTCTACCTATATATACTCATCATGCAATCTGGCCCACTCAAGTTTCGCCGCCCGCAATCATCCGGCCTTGATTGAATACCATTCACTGGACACGCGAGCTTCCTGCAAGCAAGCCGCATCATTGATAAGTTCCTCCGAGTCAAACAGCAGTTGCAATTCTTTGTGCAATCATTGGAGCCTGTACACGGCATGCAAGGCCGTCGATGATTGGTGTTTTTGAAGCTTATACATGTTCTAATATACTTGCAACCCGATCGGCAGGAGTGATGTGTCTTTCACATCTTTGTGCTGCTTAAGAAGCGCGCGTCGGCACATGCAAACAGGAGTCCATTGATCCATTGAACATGAATGACGGCCAGTGCCAGGCGCTCAACTTGAGGCCGCGCGGCCGGGATCATGCAGACAAATATATTTGATACAATGATCGAGATTCAAGCCGTTGGCGGCTCCCCTCTATCATTGCCGAACAGGATGCATGGCTCGTGATCAACACCTTCCAATATCATGCGACTGCTTGAGCTAGTATTCAGTCACAGGTGATCGATCGACGCTCAGGCGCGATTGTGAGTTGCGTGCAACCACAGCTGCATAGCTCGTCCGGCCAGGCTCAGATGCCATGACTTCACAGTACACTGCTTTTGAAACAAGTATCCCGAGTATGGACCATCCAAGCAAAGCCACAGTTTCCTCACAGTATACATCTATAGGGTATGAAGTTGATCTCGATCTGTGATTACCGAGTCATACAGTGTCTTATAGAACCGATCACTTCGAAAAGTCTTGAACACGTTGACTTGACCCCACTTCTAGAAGCCTCCAAGCCAAGGGAATGGCGCAAGAATCCTGTCAATATGTACAGTCCTTCTAACGCTAAAAATGTTTCATGTGGCTACGTCAACCATATGCGCAAGCAAGTGGTACGATGTCGTGGTCGTCGCTCCCCTTGGCTGCACACGTTTCCTAACAGCCGCTGGTCGCATTCGGCTGGGTGCCGCAGTTGGGCAGGCATATGCCGTCATATCCTTGCTGCAATACGGACGGTGAGGGAAGAGCGCCGCCGCAGCCACTGGCGCAATTGTACCCGGCGGAGCAGTTCCGGTCGGTGTTGCAGCCAGTGAGACAGCTGGCACAGTTTACGCCTGCCTTGGCAGACGGTCGAACCTGGCAGAGAGCAGCGATAGCTTGTCCAGAGTATCTTCCGATAGCATGCGGACCCATCAACCGCAAAAATCGAATTCTTTCGCGGGATGTTGGTTGCTATTGACGTTTCTGCCCTGAGAAGCTCTTGCGTCACATTAAGCAAGCATTTATTACTCAGACATCGATATTTGAATTCAAAAACGTCGGCGGAGTTATGAAGGCACTGCTCGCGGGAAAGGGGTGGGTTTGACTGAATCCTGGGGATCCAGGGTGCGTATGGGTGCAAAGCAGCACAAAATTCACGTCAGGTTGCCGAAGTAGCTTCACGCTATCTCGACACGAAATTGGGTCGTCGAGACTTACCCGCCACAGCTGGGTTGCCGCCCACATAAGCGCCGCACGCACAAGTTGGGGCGCACTCGTTGCTCACTCCGTTCCCCAAATTGGTGCACCCCACAAGAGGACCGATGGTCGGAGCTGCGAGCAGGCGGACCGTGACAGGGTTAGAAAAGATGACCGTCAACAGGACTCCTTCGATCCATAACAAGGCGTAAATGAGAGCGGCCAGAGAAACGCGAGGCCCTTGACGTTGGATGAAAGGGCGGTAGCTAGGGCGTTTAATAATCTGGTCAACGGAGAGTTATTCTAAGTGGATGCAAAGAAGAAAAACGTTTTTTCTGACGCGGCGCCTTTTTCCTTATCACGGCCAAAAAAGAGATGATCAATCGGTTTGTAGCGAGTTGACCCACTCCTCCTGAGCACGGAACACGTGGACGTAGGAACATGGACGCCAAAAAAGAAAATGGCCGTCAAAGGATGCAGCGAGCTTACTAGTTCAATACTTTAGTTTCTGATTATCTTCCATTTCTCAGCAGGGAGGCTTGGCTTTCAAAGATCTTCGGAGATATAGCCCGCTGTATTTTGGGGGATTTTCGAAGCTGAGTGAACATCTGGATTGCATCATCCGGTTTACGGTCAATGATTCACTGGTATGCACTTCCCAAAATTCGATCCGCAACCAAAGACACAAGCCTAGGGGACGAACCTCCGAGTACAAGAGCTTCCGAGGTGTCGAGTAAGAACGGCTTTGAAAGTCTCTCATAGGCGCAACGCATCAATGAAAGCGACCGCTGGCAGAAAGATCGGCCGAAGGAATCAAATCAGCACAAGTATCGGAAACCGGTTTTGCACCGACTTTCCACCAAATTAAGCTATCTCAACTTGCAAGAGCCAACAAGAAACGGTCTCATAGCGTGTGTTACTCACCAGTCAATGACGTGGGGATGGGAGTGGGCGAAGGAAGAGGGGGGATTGTTGGCTGCGGCACGGGTACAAGAGCGGCTGCAATACAGATACCAGGCAATGAAAGTCATGGGCTCATTGCAGGCTTTCGTCTAATGCAAGCACGACACGCTCAGATTGCTAAAACTTTCTCCTCACCTTCTGAGGCTCGTCATTGTCGGGCTCAATCACCCCCTTGATGGTTAGCACGAAACGGTCAAAGACACCTTCGACTGGCTCGAGCTTTGTCGGTTTTCTTCTAATCAGGTCTGAACAAGAGACAATCCTTGTTGGAATGTAGTTGAGGACCGACAAGGGAGGCGGCGCGTGACTCTCGGGCCTTCAAAGCTAAAGTCTAGGACTTGCATGCTGTTCGCAATTTTCCATGGCCGATCATCCAAGATCGAGATTGGATTCGAGCTCTTAAGATGAACCTTTGAAAGTTCTTGACCTCACGGTCACTTAACCGAGTCGATATATAGGAAGCGGCGGATGCGACAGTGATACATTTTCGTTTGCTTATGTAAAGGCCGCGCGCGATATATATATCAATCTCTCACCTCTTGATGCAGATTTAGCAGGGTGATCCCCCGAGTGCAAATTGGCCCACACTAACTTATATCATCGGCAGCACATTTATCCACCCACTACTCATGCAAAAGCAACCGGCCTTCATGTGACGAGAATGCTTTTCGCATGTGCCGTTCAAGAAAGCGCGGCAGCTGGTCCAAGGCGAAAGTCCTTAGCGAAACCAGTCAGAACTTTCCTTGACTCTTTGAAGCACAGGGGAACCCGGAATCAATCCATCATTGAACCTACTTGTTGCTCGGTACAACTTCTTCTTCCAGACATACTGGGTGACGAGATTGTCATTGGAGCCGCTAAGTTTGACACACGTCCAAAAACACGCAGCGACTTGCGAAAGTTGCGGGTGCTCACTGATGGGTGCCCATCCTTTCTCATTCAAACTGAATAAAGGCTCTTAGTGTGCGGTTTTAGTCTGGGCGTCGTCAAAATACGCTTTTCGATCTCTAGTACTCCAACGAGCCATAGCAGATCCGGCAATGAGGGGACTTACGAACCGTAAATCATATAAACTTAGAAATGGGCGGCAGCGCTGCAACGCTCTTAGTCTGGCACTGCCAAGTCCGAACTATTGCAGCCGACTCACCGGGACAGGCATAAAGAGGGGCAGTTGTGCCGTCCGGTAAGGTTATCACTTGCGGAATATGCTTTCCGGAGGGAAAGTCGTAGGGACACCATATCAACCTGGCATAGGCGCTGTAGGCGCAACCGATAACCTGGGTTGTGTATGGAGTCAAGCCGGCGTACGCAACAGACGGACACGCGTTCCTCACGATTCTCAGATTGCCTGCAAGCGTCACCAACGATATGACGGGAACAATCACGTGCTTTGTTTGCACTGGACGGCAGACTGGAAATCATTCCATTGCTAGATTTGATCTGGAAAGAAAAGAATTGCCTGGATTTGTGGAGTCTGTCGGACCGACTCAGACGTCTTCCGATGCAGGAATGCACAAAAATCGCTCATGGTGATCATGGTACACTTCTCGCCTACTAAAAAGGCAAAGCAGCTTGAAGTTCAAGCGAGCCTCCTTTGTTTGAATACAGTACCTGTTGGATCAACCGCGTATGGGCATTGTGGACCGGTTGGATCCCCGTTTGTGTTTTAGAAACAATCGGCGTTGTCTGGAGGTGCCCCGAATGCACACCCAACCTGGACGAGAATGCCGTCCTCTCGGTATGGTCCAGCCATGGATGGACACCCTCCGACGGCTGGACGAAAGACAACAGAAACGGAGAGGGAGATTGTTAAAAAGCCGGATGACGTCAGCGATTGAGAATTGACTTTGAGGACCTTCACAAACATCAATGTGATAGAACGCCTTTATGATTAGCCAGACTCATTCTAGCTGAGTCAACTCCAGCACGGCGTTGAACCAGGCCGGTCAGCTCGACCCTTCTCCCATGAAAACTGCTGATCAAACCGCTTTTCTTAATTGAAAAGCGAATGTAGGACAAGCGTGAACTGATGAACGGGTATTCTTGAGGCAGCATCCCCTGCCAAACTTTCCACACATTGAAGAGACTGTTCTGGCTAGCTTGATACTTGCAATCATGACGCACTTTTTCGAAGTAGAAATGATTTTTTCCGTGTTCAGTCTGCAAGCAATAGATCATTCGAGAGATAAAGCAACGGGGAGATCGGCTACGCAATACCATAAAGCATGGGTGGTTTTTGGCGGTAAAGATATGACTCTTGAATGCAGTATCCCGGGTATGACCATAGAGCGGTCACTATGATCAAAACGTTTTGAACATTTGCGCGCTGAGAACTATTTCTGAGTACGGTCTCAAAGGGCCCTCTTGTCGAAAAGAGTGTCGCTTACATGCATACTCCGCAGACGTATCCCGCAAAGCCCCCAGCAGAGCCAGCAGTGCCAGCAGCATTCCCCGCGGAGTGGGCACCGGAACCGCCGCTGCCATAATCACGTCAATTGCTTTGAGAGGGGTTGACGAAACCTTAACCTGCCTTGATGGAGGTTCACTCGCTGCTGCTTTGCAACTCTTGTTTTCGTTGAGGCTTCGACATAAATGCCGTCCGCTTGCTCTGCTTTTGTGGGAGAAGCGGTTTCTAGGTGAGAAGTTTGAAGTCCATCCTGTTCATTCCAACGCCCTTTAGAGTGAAAGATTGCAAGATCTAAGCCAGCTTAGCACTATGGCACTGGAGCAAGTCTATAAGTGGTTTGAATGGAGCCAAGCTGACTTCACGCAGGAAGACATGCGTCAGGCTGACGTAGCTAGTGAGACGCACAGCGGACGAGAGAGCGTCCGTCGTTGGAGCAGCCTTCCTCCCTCGTTTGCCATCTTTGGGTAAGCGTCGTGCCCGGATAAGTCTGCCCGCACCTCGGGGAGCGTCGAGGATAGCGCCGAGGATACTTTGGTGATTAGCTCCGAGGATACGCTAGAGATAAGCGTCGAGGATACTTTAAAAAACCGCGCCGACGAAAGTTTGGAAGATAACGCCCAAAATAGCGCCTCGGATACTGTCGAGAAGGGCGCCCGAAGATTGAAGATTAGCGCCGAGGATAGGATGGAAATCAGCGTCGAGGTTACTTTAGAAGATAGCGCCGATAATAGCGCCTAGGATGGGGTCGTGGAGGGCGCCGAGGATAATTTTTCCACAGCTAGCTTCGAGGATAGGGCCGAAAATAGCGTCGAGGATTGCTTTGATCCGAGCGCCAATGACAGCCGCTGAGCGCCAAAAAGAGCGTCGACTAGGATAAAGCGCCGAGCGCCGGGGAAGAAAGTAGCGCTTCACGGCCAAGCCTTCTTCCGCTTGGCATGCCCATCGTTCCGCTCCGGGTTTGAAAAGAAAGGATCCCGTCTCTAGTTTGCTGGTCCCGCTGCACTCCGCCCGGAGCCTTCCGCCAGAAGCCTGACGTTGGGCCCATCCGTTGCGATCTTGTGCCGCCCCAATTTGTTTCAAATCTCAATGGGTGTCACTACTCTAAGGAAATAGGCGGCGGCCACGGTTCCGTTCCGCCGATACTCAACCGGACCCTCGTTCCGCTGGTGCCAGTCAGCCGATTCTTTCCGCTCAGCTGGCGGCCGCCATCTTCATTACGATGGAACCGGGCCCACTTTCGCTGCAGCGCCGCGCCCCGGTCTGTCATTACACTGTGTGCCGAACCAGCCAAGCGGTCGGGGGTCGTGCGCGAGCCTTTATAACCAGTCCAGTCCGCTATTCGCAGGTACGTCATATCGGTCTAAAACTGGGTCGATTTCGATGCGACGCGCCCCGCCGCCGGCCACTCCGATGCACGGCCCCCCACGCCTTTCGATTGCGCGCGAGCCTGAACCGAACTGTTCCGCTAGCTCGCGGCACATTCCGGTGGCATTCAACATCGGTCACCGGGACAAGGAAGAGCGCCTAGCGCCAGCCCGGTTGGTCATTCTCCGCTCTGACCGGGTGTCAAGCGAGTTACCTTGCAGAGCGACTTTGACCTCCGGGGCACGCTCAAAAGAATCAGGGCCCTGTTCCGAAGCGAGATGGCTTGCGAGCTGGCGGAACGGACCGGCTGAGGCTCGCGCGCAACGTAACGCACAGGGGTTTTTGGCCGTTGACCACAGTTGGTTACGGGCTGGTTCGAAGCTGGTTAACTGTTCAATGACCAGACTCGAGCAGTAACCAGGTTTTTAACGTGGCTATTTCGCGGTTATTGGTCAAAGAACCAGATTGAAGTTTGGTTATCGAACCTGGTTAGCAACCAAACCTTCCTGTGACGACCTGGCTGGGCTTGCAGCGGGACGGCCAATCGGGGGCATGCCGCGAAGCAACAGGTTCCCGGTCCGAAGCGGAATGGCCCCGAGCTGACGGAACGGACCGGTTGAGGCCCTGCGCGCATCGTGACGGCCTGGCTGGCCCGGCGGACAGCGGAATGACCAAGCGGGGCGCGTTACAGCGGAAGTGTCCGGGCCAATTCTACTGAAACTTAAGTGGCGGCCGCCCTCTAAAGTAGGGGGAACGGATTCGCTTATACTGGCCCCAGCGGAACGAGGGTCCGGTTGAGAACCGCGGAACGGACTTGTGGCCGCCAGCTTTGTTGGTCGACAGCGCCTTCAAATGTCTCCGATCGACGCTTGTTCCGACAATATCTTTAACGCTCTCGTTGGCGCTCAGCCGCTTATCCGAAGCGCTCATCTCGACGCAATCCTCGGCTATCCTGGGCTATCGTTGTATGATCCTCGAGGCTGTTTCCGGCGTTACCATTCTCTGCGCTACCCTCGACTCTCAGAACCATTCTCGAAGCTACCCTTGGGGATATCTCGACGCTCCCGGAGGTATCTTGTCCGACCTATCTTAGTTCGACGCCCACATGAAGGGTACAAACAAGGGAGAAAGGCTGCTCTCTGCACGACGGGGCAGTCTTGTTTTCTGTGTGCGTCTTAGTACATCAGAAACCTGATTCCGTCCCAAGTAGGATTGACCAAGGAGCAGCCAGCATTTGGGCTTTGCAAGAAGTTTCCATACAAGGGGCTGGATACTTTTGCGTACTTCCTCTCTGACAACTGCAGTCTTCCTTTACCTCAAGCTTTAACCTTCTATCAGACCATCAACGGCGCTGGCGGTACGACAGACAAGCTAGCCCGAGCCCGCCGTAGCGACCACCTCGTGATCGCTCTATGAGAATAGAAAGAACAACCGCAAAGCACGGCATGCAGCGAACCCGTGAAAGACAAAGCCACAGCGGACCCGGCACGCGATAAGGCGGTGCAAAACCCGCTTGCTTTCACAGAGACAAGTCAAGGTCTCGGCGCTACCTCTGAGAGGATTGGCTTCACTATGGCAACGGCCTTCTTCCCGACTACTCCACTGAGAATGCTGCTGAAGATTCTCGCCCTATTGGGGGCCGCGCAGGGAGCGTTGGCGCAATATTCATGTAAGCCACCTACTTTCTAATGAGAGGGCAATCCAGGTCGTGCTGAAAACCAGAGATGATGCACCGAGCTTTGAATCCATTTCACGCATCAATTTGCATGAAAGTTCGTTTCGACCCGAAATACTGCATCCAAGAACTTCGTAAGACAACCCTGAACCCGCCAATGCTAACTTAGGTGTTTACATTGAATATTTTAAGTGGTTGAGCAGATTTCCCTGATATTGCTTCACTTTCCCAATGATGGCCCGCAACTCGGAAGCCGAGAACAATCTTTCCCCTATTTTCATTGTTGCACATGCTAGAAATGATTCTCAGTGAAAGATTAGCTAAGCATCTTTCCCCGTTGTCGCAAACCACGTTCTGTTACAGGAACTTGGCAAGGAATGTTGTCTGAAGAAAAGCCGTCGAAGGGTTGGTTCCGTCTCACATTCGAGTTTTAGTAAACATGTTCAGTGAGCAATCTCTGTCAGAGTGGGGTAAAGACTTACCCACCTGTGTTGACGCCGTCCAGAACACTTCAAGAGATCATGAGTCAATCCTGCAACTTTCAATAAGGCTAATGCAATAAGCTTGAGGTGCTCGGACTTCATTTCCAACAACCAGATTGAACGTTTAACAGTTGCGCGTTCGTTGTCTTTTCCAGCCGCTGGAGCATGTCCGTCTACAGCCCAAGACCCAGCCGTCCCTCTTGTCGAAGTCGTGTGCTCCGTCGGGACACCTCCGTACAATGACTACGAGTGCCATTACGACACAAATGGAGAATCCTTTTCTCTTTACATTGCGCTGAATTACCAGTGCCCAATATCGACCAATCCAACAGGTAGTATACCCCAACCTTGAAGGCTCGCTTTGCATTTCGCTTTGCCTATCAGCAGGCGGAAGGTTGCAATTTGATCAGTGTACGATTCGTTTGTTCTTTCATAGAAACATGTCTGAAGCCGGTCAAAGAACCCCTACTTCGCGCCGCTTCGTTTGTTAACGTTTATGATAGCAGCCGCCTGATGGATTGGCTCAGGATACTCTCTCCACCAGTCTTCGTTTGCTGAGCGAAGCACGTGACTCGTTGCAGGCTCTAGCCTCTCTGACCGGAGACTCTCCGGAAACGCGTGCCCTTTGGTTGGATACGTCGCCTTGTCCCCACAAGCGCTCCGAAGGATTGCTTGTGTCTATGACATCCCAAACGCGAGCCCTTACAATATAGTCACGTGTGAATACGACGTCCGCTCCGGAAAAGTGATGGATCTCGGCGTCGAGCCCCTCTGTCCTGGTGAGGGATGCGCAGTAGCAAGGCGTGGTCATAAAACTCAAGAAAGATGATAATGAGCCAAGATAATTGTAAGCTCCGACTAAAACTAACAACCCTGACTCAAAAAAGTACCTGATCCGCACCCATACCCACCCTAACCACCAAACCAACCTTGCCCGTCCCAGTGCAGTTATGTTTTTATTGTCTCCGCTTATTAGTACTTTTTCGGGTTCAAGACCCTGGCTTGACAATTGGCCAATAAAGATTGCCGCGTACTTGCGGTTCAGTTCAGCTGACATTGGCTACAGGCTTTTACATGTGATCTGCGAGAGCTGGGTTCCTTTCGGAGATCAGGTGTCCAAACGTGTCCTGACGACGCCAATGCCACATTTGTAGGCTCCACGTTTTTGGTTTGTTCTAGTTAGGACGGATGTGCACCGTCATCTTGGGGAGCAATAATTGCAAGGCATCTAGTGCACAAGCAGTGGACCTGCTGACACTCTTGAAAATCTGCCAGTTGTAGGTACACTGTTTGGGAGTTCAAAAGCGGTCATATATATCGAGTCATCATAAGAGTTTGCTGAGTCGCAAGCACTACCTAACGTTTCTGTTTGCGAAAGAAGTACGGCTTCTGATGATACTTATGATGATGATGATAACGATACTCAGCTGGCGCTCATTGCCCTCTTCAAAACATATCTGTTTAGAACTGGACTTCCGCCACTAACCAGGCTCACCTTAAAGAGTCCTGTGGTTTCACAACAAGACATCTGTTTTGCAGACGCTCTCGTACCCTTCCCCAAACCAACGGCCCCCCTGCTTCCATCCCCTTCGCCCACTCCAACCTCTACGCTAGCAAATGGTGAAGCAAATCAACTTTGAGAAGAATTTCTTATCAGTCTCAGGTTGCAAAGTTCAAGATTCATTAAGACAGCTTGCTTCAGCCAAGGTGATTCTGTGCAAGGTCTCGATTCCTGATCCCTCTTCCGAGTCTCTTGAGGCCAGCAACCGACGCACTGATGCGTACCTATATTTTCAAGCTTCTGATGGCGGTGATTAGAATTCTCGGTTAGTGAGTTGCACGTAGACTCGACGCAACTCAACTCCTCTCAAAGCCTTGCTTACGTGCCTTGCTTACGTGCCTTGCTTCTACTCAACAGGAGCCTCGTCTCCCTAACGGACACAAAAAGCTTGCACCTCACAGGGTGCGAATGTCTCCGTTAACGGCCTTATGTCTTAGCCCTGTCTAGCCATGTAACGGTACTGTGAAGATGTTCTAACTTCAATGTGAAGGATTAACCCTTTTTCAACCTGTACGATCCGACAACTCGCAGCTTCAACCATTGGTGCTCTTGTCGGATGCACCCCCGGGAATGGAACGAACTCCGGGTGCCCCGCCGGGTGTGCTTGCGGCCGTTACTTGGGTGACGCTTTGGCAGGTGATTATCACTACTAGACCCCAATGTTGCATCCAGAGAATCTTATATCGATTGTTACCAAGACGATTTGGCGCGAATTGAAACGGGTACTCGAAAGTGTTTCTCCACCTCAAGGCCGAATGTGATTCTCGCGCGCACGCCATGTCGGCATTCTGTGACGACACCTGAGCTCTGCTATCCCTACGTCTCTGCCAGGTCCGACCGTCTGTCAGGCAGGCGTGACCTGTGCCAGCTGTCTTACGGGCTGCGACACCAACTGGAACTGCTCCCCCGGTTACAACTGCGCCGGCGGGTGTGGCGGCGCTCCTCCCCCGACGTCCGTACTGAAGCAAGGATTCAAAGGCATATGCCTGCCCAACTGCGGCACCCAGCCGAATGCTACTAGCGGCTGTTAGAAGAGTACATGTGTGGAGCGGCAGTGGACTCATCACAGTCACTGATTTGCATGTGGCATTCGACGGAGCTACATGAAGAACTCTCGTTTTAAGAAGGGAGAAGAGGGAGTTAAGTGGCTTGAATGAAGTACGTCTTATGGTTCTGGCTTTCCAATCGGGCCGAATAAGGGGTCGGATCGGACTCTTTAATGCAACGCCATTGAGAGGCCGGCAGAGTCTCTAAAACTTTGACCAGGCGTAACCTCCAAATATTAAAAACGTGGCCCTTCGTCCTGAAATGAAGTTGGGCTCCCTTTGGCCCGAACATGAAGTGTATCAATGAATAGACAGGAGACGTAACTGCAAACGTAAGCTCCAACTGTACGGGGCCGCCTTGGTTCAGGTCATCCGATTTCACCGCGGAGTGATCACATGCCACGAAACCCCACTAAAGTAGCACCTAAATTCGAGCTCTGCATAGAAGGCAGTGCAACTACACGTGCAGGTGTGGCCTCGTCACAGTCCCAGCTATATTCTGGTTTTTGAGTCGGTCAAATCCGGAGCCCTGCTCTCTGCAAATTGCGCTGTTGGGCCCCACGGTATACCTTGAGCTCAACGGCTGAGATGTAACAGTGGTATGATCTTCAAAAAACAGAAATAAGGAAAAGCAGCCAACTTCACCCCGAATAGGTTGATTCCAGTCCCTTTTTATTGGGTCATGCCTCATGCGTTACGGCTGACAGGTCCATAAGGATTCTAAGTGCAGAAGCGGCCGAACTTCAAAAAGAGAAGGCCATTCCTTTCGATTTCATACATGAAAGTCGCTTCGGGCCGGAAAATCCTTGGGCTCTTGTTGAGCGGCCGGGCAAGCTGCTGGCGTTCGTATTCTGGCGGCCACGTCTGAAAGGGAGTCGCTAGCGTTGACTGGTTGTGTGCTTCTGAATCCCAAGACTTCTCACCGAACGTCGTTCGTTTCCGCGACTTAGTAGCTACTTTCGTTCCAGTAGACGTTGCAGTCGCAGCGAAACAATTGGCCGGGTGCATCGGCAAGCAGGGGTCCCGACTCGGGGCGGAGCGGTGCCGTTGGAAGCGCCGCGACAGTGCTGTAGTGAACAAAGCCCGCACCGGAACCACCGAACTGCCCCGTGCAGCGGATTTGCCGATCGGGGCGCGCCTAAGTGGAACCAGGGCCCGTTTCTGAAGCTATGGCTTGCGAGCTAGCGGAACGGACCGGCTGAGGCTCCTCGCGCGCAACGGAACGGCCTGGCGGGGCTTGCGACGGGACGGCAGACCGAGGCACGCTGAAGCGAAATGGGGCCCGTTTTCGGACCGGAAAGGCCCACGTCCTGAAGGAACGGACCTGCTGAGGCTCGCGCGCAATATGAAGAGTGCCTCGCTTGCAGCGTAACGGCCAATTGGGGGCACGCCGCGAAGCAACAGGGTCCCGTGCCGAAGCGGAATGGCCCCGAGCTGACGGAACGGACCGGTTAAGGCTTGCGCGCATCGTGACGGCCTGGCTGGCCTGGCCGATAGCGGAATAACCGACCGGAGCGCGCTGCAGCGGAATTGCGCCCGGTTCCGTTGAAGTTTCAATGGCGGCCGCCATCTACAGTAGGCGGAACGGATTCGCTTACACTAGCCCCAGCGGAACGAGGGTCCGGTTCGGAAGCGCGGAACGGACCCGTGACCGCCAGCTTTCGTAGGACCAGCACCTTGCAATGACTGGAACAATCTGAGGGCAAGATCAAGAAAAGAACCATGACCCAGCAGGGTCTCTGGCGGATCGCCTCGGTTCCGTACGCGGAGGCGTTAGCAGAGTTAGGAGTCGGTTCACCACTGAAGCGGAACGAACATCGACGGAACGGCTTGGCCGTGGAGCGCTTTTCTCCGTACCTCGGCGCTTAGCGCGCCATCGCGGGAGTGAAGATTTTTCCGAAAATGCCTTCATTGCTCTCTTCGGCGCTCAGCCGCTTATCCGAAGCGCTCATATGAATGCACTTCGACGCTATCCTCGGCTAAGTCTTCGTATCATCCTCGATGCTGTTTGCGGCGTTACCATTCTCGGCGCTGTATATCCTCGACGCTCAAAGCTATTCTTGACGCTACCCTCGGCGCTATCCTCGGCGCTCCCCGAGGTATCTAATTGGCCTATCTTTGATCGACGCTCACCTCAAGGAAACAAACAACGAGAAAGGCAGCTCTCTGCACGACGGAGCAGCTCTCCTTGTACTGTGTGCGTCTCAACAAAGCAGAAAGCATGATTTTGTCGCATGGAGCTTTGACCATTTTTTGGCGAGCAGCCAGCGTTTGAGCTTTGCGATATCTTGCCATACAAGGCGCTGGATACTTTCGCGTAGGTCCTCCCTCAAATTGCAATCTTCCTTTCCCTCAAGCCTTGACCTTCTTTCAGACCCTCAACGGCGCTGGCGGTACAACAGACAATCTAGCCCATGAGCCCGCACTAGCGACCCCCTCGTGATCGCTCTATAAGGTTAAGAAGAACACACGCAGAGCAAAGAGGGCGGGCGAACACGTAAAAGACGAAGCCTCAGCGGACCTGGCACCCGATAAGGCGGTGCGAAGAAGCACGTACTTTCGTAGAGACAAGTAAAGGTCTCGGCGATACTTCTGGGAAGATTGGCATGACTATGGTAGCGGCCTTCCTCATGGCCACTCCACTGAGAATGCTGCTGACGATTTTGGCCCTATTGGGGGCCGCGCAGGGAGCGGTTGCGCTATATCCATGTAAGCAACCTATCTTTCAATGAGAGGGCACTTCTAGGCTGAACTGGAGACCAGAGATGATGCATCGAGCTTTGAATCCAGTTTACACATCAGATTGCATGGAAGGTCGTTTTGAACCGATTATTGCATCCAAGAACTTCATAATACAACCCTGAACCCGACTGCGCTGATTTGTGAAGTGGTTCAGCGGATCCGAGTCTCCATTGCTTCACTTTCCAAATGATGGCCCATAACTTGGAACCCAAGAACAATCTTTTCCCTATTTTCATTGTTGCACATGCTAGAAATGAACCTCAGTGAAAGATTAGCTAAGCATCTTTCCCCGTTGTCGCAAACCACGTTCTGTTACAAGGAATGTTGTCTGAAGAAAAGCCGTCGAAGGGTTGGTTTCGTCTTACATTCGCTTTTAGTAAACATGTTCGGTGAGCAATCTCTGTCAGAGTGGGCTAAAGACTTACCCACCTGTGTTGACGCCGTCCAGAACACTTCAAGATATCATGAGTCAATCCTGCAACCATTCTATAAGGGGACATGCAATAGACTTGACGTGCTCGGAGTCCAGTTCCAACAACCAGTGTTGAACGTTTAACAGTTGCGCTTTCGTTGTCTTGTCCAGCCGTCGGAGGATGTCCTTCCACAGCCCTATATTCGGACGTCCCTCTTGTCCAAGTTGATTGCTCCATCAGGACATCTCCGGGAACTTCCTTCGACTGTCATTACAACACAAACGGAGATCCCATAATTATCGGTAGAACTCTCCCGTGCCGAATATCGACCGATCCAACAGGTAGTATACTCAAACCACGGAGGCTCGTTTTGCACTTCGCTTTGCCTTGATCTAGCAGACGAAAGATTGCGATTAATGTAGTGCGGGAAACGTTTGAAATGTTCGTTATCCCACAGAAACAAGTCTGAAGTTGAAGAGGAGTACTTCACGCCGCTTCGTTTGTTAACCCTTATGATAGCAACGGCCTGATAGAATCAGCTCAGGCTCCGCTGACTTTCACTCTTCATTTCCTGAGGGAAGCACGTGAACGTTAACGACGATGTTATTGTTTGCAGGCTCCAACCGGACACTCTCCCGTAACGCGTGCCCGTTGGTTGGATTCTTCGGCGGGTCCCCACAAGCTTTCCTGATATCGATGATAACTTGTGTCTATGAATTCCCGAATACGTTCCGATTCTTATGCTACTACGACGTTCGCTCCGGAGAAGTGTTACACCCTAGCTTCCAATTCCCCTGTCCTGGTGAGGGCTGCGCAGTAACACGGACCCTGGCTTGACGTTGGGCAATTGCCGCGTATTTGCCGTTCAATCCAGCTGACATTAAATGCGAGCTATAAACGCGATCTGCGAGTGCTGGGTTCTTTGTGGCCCGGCCGGAGATCAGGAGTCGATCCAAACGTGTCCTGACGACGCTAATACCACATTTGCAGACTTCACGTTTTTGAACTGTTCATTCAAAACATCATTCAGTGCATCCGTCAAGTAAGGACCGATGTGCCTAGTCATTTTGGGGAGCAATCATTGGATGGCGACTAGTGCACCAGCACCGGGACCTACTGACCTCTTCCAAGTCTGCCACCTGTTGGTACACTGATTGGAGGGTTTAAAACGGTCATCGAGTCATCATAAGAATCTGCTGAGTTGCAAGTACGTCCTAACCTTCGTTTTGTGGCAAGAGACACGGCTTTGCTGAATGATCTCATGCTCCTCCGAAACACGCAATGTTGCGCTCTTCAAACCAAGTCTGCTTAGAAGGAAGAACGGGACTTAACCAACAATAACCAGGTCCACTCAGAGTAGTCCTGTGTTTGTGGATTTCACTACCAGAGATCTGTTTTGCAGCGGCTCTCGTACCCGTGCCACAACCAACGGTCCCGCTTCTTCCTTCCCCCTCCCCTACCAACGCATCAACGGTCCCCATTCTCCCTTCCCCTTCCCCCACCAACGCTTCGACGGTCCCCCTTTTACCTTCCCCTTCGCTCACTCCCTCTCCCCCGGGGATCCTTCTTCCCTCCCCAACGGTTCTCCCTCTGCCCTCCCTTCCGCCCACCCCTATCCTCACGCCACCGATTGGTGAGGCCAACACATACAGGCTGTCCGTCGTATTGAGCAGTTCTGGCAGCTTGAGACTGCTTGCTCGAAGTGATATCCTGTGCAGATCAAGCTTCATTCCCAACCCTTTCGCGCCCTTCTCCCTCGGCTCGCAACTTTCTGATGCCATTGATAACTTTGAGGTGACAGGGACGCATGACTCATCTGCCGCTAAATGCGTTGCACGTCGACTCGAAGCAATTTGCCTCAACTCAACTCATCGCCTGGGTCACGTGTCCTTCTTCTTTACAAGAGTCTTTTCTATTTAATTAGAAAAAAAGACTTGCATTGTCGCAACGGATATGAGAGACTCCGTTGACGACCTTTTCTTTTCAAACCTGTCACGGTCTGCCTTAACGCAGCTTCGGCCGCTAGCGTTCCTCTACAAGCGTGCACCAACCTGGGGAATGGAACGAGCAACGAGTGCACCCGCGGGGCGTGTACGTGCGGCGCTTACGTCGGCGGTACGCTGCCAGGTAGAAACCGAACTTTTCCGACCCCCCAGAATATTTCGCAGCTAACCAAACTGGTTAGGGCGCTAACCAGGCCTGGTTACAGACCGGCCCTGATGGCGGTCTGGCCAGGGCTTAGTTAGCGGAACCTGGTGATCAGCAAGAATTGGTTATCAGCAAAAATTTCCTGAAAAAACATACCTTGCCTCGGAATAGCCCCAGATCGACACACCTCTGCCAAGATGTCTCGATGCCGATCGAGATACACGCCTCTCTCAAGGCCCTTAAGTGAGAAGAATTTTACGCTACTGGACAGCAATCTCCAAATATGGCATCCGGTGGCACGCGAACCCCGAATTGACCCCACCCCGTCCTCGGCAGCGTCTTACTTCCCTCTTACCTCAACGGAGGGCTTTTCATCTTTTGATTCGATGCCACTTACTGAATAAGCAGACTAACTGCTTATTCTAGTGGTCAAATTCTCAGTAGCAAACCCAGACCCAGAGAGCACAAAACTTGCTTAATCCCAAAATTCTTTCCAAGAATAGAGCGGATTGAGTCCTGCCTCACGCCTTAGGAAAGATTGTATCTCCGCATGAAAGGTCCGCGTGCTGAAAAATACTTCTTCCCTCTTCTACCCGTCCTCTTTCAGGTCCGACCGTCTGCCAGGCCGCAAACGTGAAATGTGCCAGCTGTCTTACGCGCTGCAACTCCGATCAGAACTGCCCTTCCGGCTACAACTGCGCCGGCAATTGTGGCGGCACCCCTCTCCCGCAAGGATCCATTAACGGCACGTGCCTGCCCAATTGCGGCACCAGGCCGAATGCTAGCGGCTGTTAGATAAACGTGTGAGCCCGAGAGACAGTGAGATATGAGTACAGACTCTGCTTGGTTTGTGCAGACGACGAAAGCCACAAGGAATGGCTTCCATAATCAGAAGGACTTGGAATAACGGGGTCAAAGTGCTAGCTGGAATAACTAGGTGCGTCGTTCCCCTTTGAGATTCTAGTCGGGCTGTATCTGAACGTCGGGTTCAAACCGACTGTGATCGCTTCTAGGACCTTAATTTCGAAGTTCATCTTAACTTCAACGTCAGACTTCGAATGTACATTGGGAGCTTCTTGCGTTTCTTTAGTTGCCTGGTTCTTTGGCACTCGATGTGGAGACGTCACTCGCGTGGGTGCAGAGTGCAAAAGCGTCGGCTCTTTAAGTCATAATCACATGTGCACGATTTCAGTCCATCGCGGCTGCAAGATCTCTGTGCATATGAACACACTTTGCATATAAATAGACTTATACGTATGTACATACACAAAGTATATATAAACACGTTTTATTTCAATTCCTGTGCACCGCGCTTAGGCCCGCGCGGGCCCAGGGTCAAGCATGATGACGTGTTAGCTCGTCGTCCGTTAAATTAGCGACTTGGGCTCTCGTCAGTGTCGTCATGCGCAAACCGAATGCGTCAACGCCCAGTCGGCTGGCTGGGTCCTCGATTGTTTCACTAAAATTTAAAGCGCGCCAATAACGCGCCCAGTGTCGATCCTAGTCGGGGAGCATCTGCACTCCATCAACCTCATGAGTCCACCTTGGTCCGTCCACTTTTGGCTGTCAGAGTCGCTTTTCACAAAATTATCGACTGCATGCTCGCCTTTAGCTTCAACAAGAACGTCGGGCCTTTGTGCGAAGACGTCTGCGCAGATCAATGTTCGATTTTCACGCACAGAATCGCGAGCTAGTGCAAAGCAACTGCACAGGCGTGCACTATGAAACGTACATGTCGTGGAATCCAATCATAGCATGCGGGAACAATCCTAAGTTCGTGCAGTTTGACAATCCCATCCTGTGCCCAAGCACAGAAACAATCTTCGTCACAGATAAAGGTACGGGTCATGCATGAACCTTTCAGTTCCAGACGACGCGGCAATGGCCGCCTGCACCGAACAGATCGCTTCACTAACCCAACTAACTTCCACATACCACTACTGTACAACCTCAATACCGCGCTTACCCCAGCGCTGACCGTGAGTTCCTCATTGTCTCTTCTTATCACAAACTTTTACCTAAAGCAGCGCAGTACATTTCCGAACGCGCAGCTAAAGGGTATCATCGATAGGGACGCCGTGTTTCAAGAACCTATCAGCAGCCGACACCGCAGTGGTGCTGCATTCGACAACGCCGCTACAAAGATCGCCAGGCAGGACGGGCGTGTCCTGATGGGGAGACGATATGGAACCTGCAAACAATGGCAGACGCTAATCATGTAAGAACCGAGTTTGGTTGATCACAAGATTCACACCTGAAAATTTTTAAGCTGCCGCCTTGAGAAAACGTTTCAAAACTCCCGCAGGAAGGAGGGCAGCAAATGCCAGCCGACGGCGGTAGCAAGACACGCGAAACCAAGGCACAGCCAGAACGCTGAAAAAAGGTTTGTCAAGCGTGTACGTTCATCTCTCAGGAGCTGTCGTTGGCCGACAATTGAGCGCACGGTGTCTGACGCTTTACTTCCTTTCCAATTCTGCGGCTGAAATCGATGGAGGACCTTTCATACCAACTGAGAGCGAGAGAACAAGTGTCGCCGGCGGAAGCGAGATTGACCGGCACCAATCCGAATTCTCGCCCAGCTACTTTCATCCTTCCAAAAATAAAGCGTTCCGTTCAGCGTTGAGGGCTGACCTTTACTCGCAGCTTGAGTCGACCGAAATTTGGAAGGGAAGAGGCCTGATCAGAGGCATGATAAAGAACGGACGAAGAGCGCCAACAGAACCACTGCAAAAAGCTACCATTGCCGAAGCAAAAACGCAGAGTGGCAGAAGCGAATCAACTCAATCTTTAAAAGCCCACCTGCGGTTTGGCAGGCCCGCATCGTTTTGCAGTGCTCTCCCTCGTCATCCCTCACGTTTACAAACACATCGTACAAGTTCTCTGCGGATACGGAGAACGGGCGTCAGCAAAGTTGGAAGAAACTTTGAGTCGAGTCGGGACATTGACTTTGCGCACAGGAGTGCTGAGGAGCAGACCATCAACGGATTTGGAAAGCTGGGAAAACGAGGCCAAATGTGTCTTGAAGCATCTCCTCAAGAGCTTTAATCTGGGGTCGGTAACGAGAGGGACGTTCGGTGTCAGGTACTCGCAGCGTCGCCTGTCTTTTTAACTTTTCCTCAAAAGTTAGTCAGCCGGCCAGAGCAGGCGAAGTTTGTACAACGTCCAACTGACAAGGACCGAAATATTAACAATTCAGAGAAGGTCGCTCTTATAGACGAACACTCGAGTTCACCAGAAAAGTACATGATTGGCAGAACGCACCGGATTTGGCAAAAGCAAAAGTACAGAAAGTTCAGATATGACATTGTCGGGGTTCCGGCAACAACAGAGCCTTCCTTTCTGGTTCGCTCGTCTCGTCTGAATCAAGTCAGACGAAGGCGAATCTCAAGTCTTTGACAAAGACGGTTCACAAGCAGAGCAGGCTTATCGGGATTGGTCCAATGCACGCCTGCCAGGTTATAGAAACGGCCGCCTATGAATTCCTCCCGATTTATCAACTGACCAACCGGCGGCATGAGCGGCTTACCTATTTTGGGTCGCCGGACGCCCGGTGTGGCGGCCGTCTGAAACTCGTCTGCAGAGAAAGAGACCTGGTGAGACTCTGTGTCGAACTGAAGAAAAACTAATAATGAGCCGAAATAATACTAAGGTAACCGCACTGGGACGGGTAAGGTTAACTTTGGTGGTTAAGGTGGGTGATCGTGCGGAGCAGGTACCTTTTTGGGTTAGGGTTTTTGGAGTGAGTCGGAATTTGATATTATCTTGGCTTTTTAAGCTCTTTCTTGAGATTCGTAAAAAGCTGTGACGCTCTCCCCCTGCACGTGGATCTAAAGGATGTAACGCCCTTCATTGCGAGAACCAGGGTCGCAGACCGGTGTCGGAACAGGAGGAATGCATATCGAGCAGCAGTCTAGACGTCCAGTGATTTCACTGTGATGCCTTAAATTGACAACCAACGCTTGCCCCCAGAAAAAAGGTCGATTAAGATTCCGGTCAGATCAATCACGATCCGGAACAGACCCGACGACATTCGAGACTGCGGCGTTGGCTTGTCTTTTAACAGTTCAACACCTCCAACTGGGTTTTCCTTTTAGAACGGGGGCTCGATGGTGGAACCACACTACGAGATGCCCTCAAGCTCGCTCTTTGGATCTCACTTGATGCAAACGTTCCAACCGTTGCTCGCGCACTCAAGAATCTGCCCAAACGGGCCCAAGCCCGTGACAGCACCGAAAATTGCTGCCACCCGAGAAATCGTCCGGCGAATCTTAGGCGGCGCCTCTGCGAAAACGCCGCCGAATTTTCCAGCGAGGGAGGCTGCTAAAGCCCTTTACAAGCACGCTCACCAAACATGTACAGGTCTCCCTCGGTGTAATACTTGACGGCGACCTCCGGGGCCGGCTTCGTCTTAAGCTTGTCGCCGAAAGTTGCCAGGAACGAGTCGTACGTGTGGTACGCGTGCGTCTCGACGCACTCCATCAAGTGATCTGCACGGTGGCAACAAGCTCGTCAGAAAGAAGTGCTCTAACGTGCGAATACTGGAAAGAAGCAGGTAAACAGGGATCAACGGTCACTTGGCTCAGAAGTGTGAGATACGAGCAGATAAAAAGAGGCACTTATCTGGTTGGCACACGCAAAGAAGTGACAAAACGATAAGTTTCGAGAGTGCCGGACATACACGGGCCGTGGGGGATGAGAGCGCTTTGGAATCGCCCAAACGCAGAATGAAAACGGAGAGTGCGAGACAAAGCGGCAACCCCGCGCGAGCACTCTTCCTATCGTGTCACCTACGACAGAAGCACGACATGATGGACCCTGAAAGCTCAGATAGGGTTTCGTGACTCACACGCCATTCTCGGGCTGACCAGGTAGATGATGCAACACAGGAGGTAGTAGACGACTGCCACGTGTTGCGCCAGAAAGCGGTCGATCCACCGCCGGTCGCCTCCCAGCGACTCCATAATGAGCAGGTGATGCAGCTCGTTCCACGATTCAGCAAAGTGAACCTGCGGTGAAATAACAACGGGTTTTGAGTTGAGCGGCGGAGAGAAAGCACAAACAATCCGGTTTTACTTGCGCAGGAAATGAGATTCTGGAAGTCTGACGCCTCTGCTGAACACACGTGGTAAACGAGAGATCCGAAGGGAAGAAAAGCGAAGGGAGTGCCCGGAAGCGAACGACGCTTGCAGTAAAGCCGGAAGTGAAGGAGGTCCTTCTCTGCGTTTTCACTTTCAAACAGGCTCTGGAACGTGCAAATCGACGCCGATCACTTGCTGGGCTCACAATCGGCGTCACCTCCCTGGGGCAGTGGAGAAGTTTTCAGCTTGAAGAAGTAGGTAATGTATGCTGTGTACCGGCTTTCACTGGTCCATTCAGTAATTACCCCCACAAAGCCTATCTCAAACTAAGCGCAGCCGATGGCATAAGGTAGAACGCTACGTCACATGTAAAGCATTCCATTGAGAAGGCCCCGTTGGCAAGATGCCACGAAGAGACATTTGACCGACAACCTGCCGCTTCTGCCCTTATGCGAGCTCCGCGAGCTTCACAATCCGGAGCAACAGGTTGAATCCGGCAACTGCATTCTGAATCGTAGTGCCTCCAGTATATCAAGTCCAAGGCTCGTAGTGGTCCATGACTCCTGGGTCACAAAAGGTTGGCTTCGGCAGTTGCGTCCTAACACGACGTCTTTCAGCACATCAATAACAAAGCCCAAACTTGCCCTTGAGTTTCGGGGCGCAGCTGGTGCAGTGCGTGCTCACCTTGATGTAGTCTGCTCGCCGCCACCACCCAAAGCTCTCATACATATGTAAAACCGAAACATAAGCTGCAAACGGAGAGAAACAATTTGTCATTCTTGGGAATACACCCCATTTCCCACGCCATAAAAATGACCGCAGCCTTGCATTGAACTTGATACGCAGAGCACTGCGTTGCGCTTCTGTCCGACCTGAAATCAAAGCCTCCCAAAGTGAGAAGGACCAAACACGCCCCGACTTCAGCAGCATAGAGCCTTGCGCCACTACGTTCATGCCGCTCTTTTGTCTGGGCTAGCTTCAAACGGGTGAGCGGCTTCAAAGCCGCAAAGTACTCGTTTCAAGGCTTCTCGATGACGTCCATAGACTCCTCGCAAACTGCGGCCAATCCTCCGACCAGCCGCATGAACCATAGCTGAGATCGACGGGGATTGCCTACAGCTTTGCCTGGCAGCCTTCTGTAAGCTTCCAGCGATTGTGTGGCGGTTTCAGAAGTTCACTCCAGTTGACTGCTTCAAGTCGAAATTCCGAGCCACTCGAAGTTGAAGGGCCATTCAGTCTTTCATGTACGCCTGAGAGGGCTTGAGATAGCAGCGGTATCCAAGAGAGTAGTGAGATAGACGAACTTACAAAAATAAGGAACCCGAGCGATTGTTTCCAGGACGTAAAAGCGTGCGTAGTGCCTGTCCGCGTAGAACGCATCCAGAAGAATGACGACGAAATCCTGCAAGCAAGCGGAACCTGGTGAGCTGTATCAAAGAAATGGACCGACATCACCAGTCAACAAGCTTGTTGACGGTCATAAGACGAGTTTTTTTCTCAAATGTTGAACATTTTTTCAATTGAAGCTGCTTCAAGCCTGGAAGAAAATCTTGCAACGGGAGGCGAACGACCCAACCGTACAGATGCTGCTGAAAAATCCAGTGTCCCCGTGAAACTGTCGTAGCACATGAAGCGTACCGGTTTTCGTGCAGCCTCTTAAAATCCTTTCATTAGCTCAGACCGGGACGATCTTCCTGCCCTCCCCCACTCACATTTCCATAACAACTAGGTTGGCGCGTAACAAGCCCTTTCCTTGGAGTGATCAGCACCTCGCTTCTGGTTTGCCATCAAATCGTCCTGCAAGCAATCAAGGCAAGTGACCAACTCACCGTTAGCGCGTGGTTTATTCTTCTCTCCACCCCAATCAACCCCGCCTCCCACCCGGTTGCAGAGTCCTCTGGAGGAGGCAAGTAGTCTTTACTCTTTGCTGGCGGAGCCGACACGGCCTTCATTGACCATCTGCATGAAGCAGACATGAATCTTTCTAGTTTGAAAAGAAGGACAATGTACGACAGCCTTCTTTTGAAGGCGCCCCACACGCCTTGCAACTTCACATGAAAACACTGGCTTCTGTACAGATCCTCAAGCACCATAAAAAGCGGGCGTATAAGGACGCTTTCCCGCCCAAGGATTGACGGCCAACCTTTGCCCTGGTACCAATTCAACTCCATGTGGCCGTCAGGAACGGAGTAAAACCCAGTTGTACAGTGAACAACTCATGTCAGCTCAAGCCACAGAGACCCCTTCGTTGTTTGTTTCACTGGCGCTAGAAGGCCACTCTCAATGTTTCCGCCCCCTTGGAACACAAACAGCAACTGTTCACAAGTTCCAAATGTGACTGGCCACTTTGGATGCAGAATCTTTGGAAGGCCTTGAAACAAGTTCCAAATTCACTAATCACTTTGGATGTGTCAAACTTGGAAAGCCATATAGTTGCAGCTTCGGTAGACCAATGTAATCAATCCAAGACGAAGCAACTTCCATTCAATGGATGCGACAGACACGTTCACTTGATTAGCGAAGGAAAGTAACAAGTACTAATCTGCGGGAACGTAGATGCTCCTAACATCATCTACTGAGTAAGCTGGAGTGTTCACTACGGACCTGCTGTTTCCACAGACAGGGTCGAAGGACGGAACAATGCCAGGCACTTTCGAAAGGCCAACTTTCCGCCCCAAAACGCCCTTCCTCAGGTTCTGCTCTTGGCGTTTTGCAGAACCCTGGCACACACGCCTGCTAGAGGACAGCGGCGAGTCAGAACATGTTGTGCTCTGAATTGTGTCCATGATCTGAGACGTCAGCAATTGTGCCAGTTGTAATACGGAGGTTCTCAACCCAGAACAGAATGTTTTCAAGATTGAATCAGATCAGATTGTCACTTGCCCGACACTCAACTGTGCTTACTAAACAGGTCACATCCTGAATGTGTCCACTTTCAAAAAGGATTTGCATTTACAGCACACGAATCCAAAGCTGCATAGATCCTGGATGCATAGCGACCACGACTGGAGTGCTCCGTTGAGCATTTCTGCCAAAGATGAAAAGCAGATTAGGTTTCATAACAATCACTCTTGTTTTGACTTCCCCACTTTGCATCAGAATTCGGATGAAGTGGCAATCACAAATAGACAACAGCTAGTATAAGTACTTTGCAACAAAAGACAAAACTGCAGGCTCAAGCCCAGGGTCCCCGAAAAGCCCAGGGCAAAGATCCACCTACAAACCTCAGAGCGACAGGGGCAAACCCTAAAAGATTGTTAGTGTAAAAGTAAGTGCATGCGGCAGTTTACGATAAGAGAATGTGCTGACAGTGGCTGGCAGATGAAACGCTCAATCAACACCCACCTTGCTTGAAAGACGGGTTGCCCACTGGCCCCTGCTGCCCTTGAGGATCCTGCGGACTCATCTTGCCGATATGGCAAGACAGTTCTGCTTTGCAACTCTACTGAGAGAGCCATCTCGGGTTCCTCTACCCGGCTCCAACGCTGCGGTAAGCTTGCTCTTGAAAGCAGGTGTGATTGCACCCAGCTAAATTCAGACGCTAAACCCTCTTAAACTGCAAGAATTCTCTGCGATTGAGTCTCTGATCCAGATTAGCTCATCAAAGGACAGCGTCGATTGCCCGCGCTAAACGGCTTACTCGATTCTACAAGAACTCTTGACTCAATTGTGAGGCCCAGCTGAGTCAGAAAACCGGAAAGCTTGGCCGCTGTAGTGCCGCTTACTCCGAGAAGGCAGCAACTGGAACAAGAAAGGTTGAAAATGGGCGTCTTCACTGGACTATTAGTTATACAAAGAGACAAGAAGCTCAGAATTCTAGAGAAGCTAGCCGGAAACCAGCACACTGCACAGTACCTATTATACCTCCAGTGGACCATAGTTGGCAGCCGCCCACGTCTACTGTTGCTGGGGTCAGTTCCCGGCAACTTTAACGGCACCCTTGATTGCTTTCTGACTGCCTTTATCGCAAGCCGTTACCGGTACAATCTTAACGCGCAGCAATAAACGGCAATGTGTCTTTGATATTTTTCCCACGTGGCCTCTGAAATAGTTCCGGGCCGCCACTTCAAGTTCCGGCAGGGGCATGGAGATCGGAACGGACAGGAAGACCGGAACTTCTAAGGGATCACTATACTACGGCGATTCGGTACGTCAGCAAGTCGCTTCGGGACTAGCTTCTGAGCATCTCATCAGACGTCCGCATGCACGATCGTTTTTCAAGCTGCTGACGGCATTTGATCTGGCAGACTCGCATGCCGCCGTCGCCAAGATTACTTTTGTGGGCCCGATTGCGCCAGCGTACCAGTGCACTGCCGACGGCCGGTCTGGTGCGCTGCTCTTATTGGCTTAATGCCAGCTTCTATGAAAGGCACCCGTAGGATTCCCGGGTTGGTTCTGATTCGTCACCACAGTCTGGAGGTGCCTCGCAACGCGGAAGGGTGACACCGTTTCTCTAAACCCAGCAAGGAATTAGCGCATTCCATGCACTGGACTTTGCCGCCCGGCCGCGGGCGCGAGAGCTGTTGTTTCAGCCACGAATCACGAGGGGCGGCTGTTTTCAGCGGAACTGGTGAACGGTTTGCCAACGAGCTTAAGTGCATGCAGGGGTTCACACCCTTCGGAGCCCGTTTGAGAGAGGGTCTGCAAAGATTGCACGATTTCTGACCCCTTCCGTGCTTCACCGGAGGTAAGCACCGAGCAGCCCTTTCTAACGCACGAAGAACGAACGTGGGCTAATTTTTATTGAAGGCTTGGAGATACGTACAGGATTGGGTTTGATGAATTCTCTTCGAAGCAGCCCTTTTAAAGGCACGAAGAGCGCACGTGGGCTATTGTTTATTGAGAGCTTGGAGATAGAAGGGAGATAGAGGATTGGGTTTGCTGAAATTGTCTTCGAGATTCTGCTCGCACTGGCATAACAACAAGGGTACGTGTCAGTCGCTGAACAAGTTGTTTGTAACGATAGCTTTCCTTGGCTCACTTTCACGATGGAAATCAGACACCTTACTTCTTTTCGTGTAGGATTTGGCTTGTATCCGACTTTTCAAAAGCCCTTGTCATCTTTGTTTCAGGACACACTTTGTTCAGATTGTGGCCCCATTCTCTGGACAGGTTTGAGCCAGGATGAGCTCACGCAGACTGCTCGCGGTTCCCCGCTCCTCGACAGCTGTCCTAAAAAGGTTCTTTGCAAACCGGGGAAGGAGCCCGGTAAGTATTCCACCGGGGAGAGCTCCCCCTGAGCCGCCGCCCAACATGTTCCCGGAAGCCCACGCGAAGCAGGCAACCGGGGCAATATTTTCCGAGCACGAAAGACCGGTCGGCGACGGCTCGAAGCGCCCGGAATCGCAATACCCGGTCACGGAAACCGGAGGGAGGACGGAAGCCGGGCGCCAAGAGCAGGATTGCGTGTGGAAGTCGGCGACCGGACAGCGGGGGATAGCGGTGTCAAAGTCGCCCTTTGTCTTTGCTATTCTCCCCAGTGGTCAAAACCGGGCAGCTGGGGAGTCGGAGAGGAGCCCAGTGCCCGGGAGAACCGCTGCGACGGAGAGATCGACGGTGGGAAGCGCGGAGACGGAGGAATCGACGGTGGTATACCACCCGGGGGATGAAGAATACGTGAACTGGGGCAGGATCAAGCCCCCGGGGGAGCCCCCCGACGACGAGGAGCAGAGAGAGGCGGTGCACGAGATGCTCAAGTGGAAGCGGGTCACGTGAGGAACTTGGGAAGCTTTTCAGTTCGGCTTTTCAGATTGGTGCTCTAATATAGCTGTGATTGGCGTTTCCCCGCTTGATGGCTGCTCTGCACAGTGTTCGTTTTCTCAGAGTGTTCGCGTTTCGTTGTCTGAACCGCTCATAATATGACCGATATAAGATGGGTGAAGCGGAGAAGAATCTGATAAAATTAGACAGGCCAGGTCTGTCCTCGTTCTCAGTCTCTCTTTGTTACAGAGACGATGATGCCAACGCAAACTTCTTACTGCCACGTTCCGGTCAACGATCAGGTGCTTCTCAAGCAGAAAACTCTATTCGCAAATCTTCTGGACGATCTGAGACCGTCTACGTGCGCAACCAGGTGCTTCTGTATCTCTTTTCTCACTCCGTTCCCCCGTGCCCGCAACATTTGTTTCATCGAATATGCTCGAGGCCACCTTTTTCCCCGAATCTCTCGCTTCGAGAGCTACTTTTCCGCACCTCCTTATCAAGATACTTTTTCATTAGGAAAACGAGTTCAGATCAAATCTCAAGGATAGGACGAGGGAAAACATGTCGCTATTTTTTTGTGCGTGCAGGGAGGCCGTCGGGGTCATCGTTTTGGTTAAGGCCTGCTACGACCTAACCCACATCGAAAAACAACTCTCGTAAGCGAGGTGATTCAAACGACTCAACATAGGTTCATGTTTCGTTACGCGGGGTAAAGAGCAACCCGCTTTTTGTGCTCGCAGGCAAGCCGCGCTGGTCATCATATCGGTCAAGGCCCTCTAACTAAGACTCTTACGACTTACCCCACGTTGAGGAAGAAATTCTTCACAGAGCGACCATTTTCGACCGGTGGATACCACGTTACCCTTGTTACGAACATGGTCAAGAGCATACCCTACCTCTTTTTGCAGGCAGGACGCCCTGGTCATCATATCGTTTAAGGCCCTGTACGGCTTAACCCAAATCGAGTAAGAGATTCTCCACTGGGCGACCATTTTTCAACCGGTGCATCCCGCGTCAAACCCTGGTTGCGGACAAGGTTAAGAGCAAATCCCACCTCTTCTTGCAGGCAGGCCGCCCTGGTCATCATCTCGGTCAAGGCCCTGTACGACTTAACCCACATCGAGGAAGAGATCCACCGCCCGTTCCTGGACGCGCCGCGGCCGCGCTACCCGTACATGCGCATCCGGCACAAGGACTTTCCCTGGGGGCCGTGCGACTTACTGGACCTGGACTGCTGGCGGGAGCGGAAGATGCAGAACCAACAGGAGGTGGAAGCGCTGCATAACCGGCGGCTCCGGGGTTAGGTTAAGCGGTCAAGCTTTAGGGCTTAGGTTCACGAACTTGTGTGGTTCGACACGGTTAGCAAGTGGACAACGAACTAGAGGGGGAGGTGAAACAGAGAGAACACCGGAGAGAACAGAATACTGGCTTGGTTGGAGTAGTAGCGTCTTAGGTTGCAAAAAGATATTAGTATAAAGGTTCGGTAATGCATCCACGATCTCGCACGTGGCACCTACGCTTCAGGTTTCAACCAGACGGCCTGGGGCATTTTTCTGCGCCGGAGAAGGTCACTTTGTAGATGATGTTCCCGTCGAAGAACGCCTGTCCCAAGCGAATGGTTAGAGGAAAACGAAGCTCAGTGTATCTGGTTCTCTTGAGTGACGAATGTCTCTTGCAGCCACCGAGACCCCAACAAATCAGGCTTCGATCACGTATATGATTATTCGGTGTACGTCTGAACGGCTTGGTATGACAGGGCGCTCGCGTCGTTCGAGATTCACTAGGTACATGTTCGTATCACCTACACTTGAGCGCTTTGCATGAAAGGGCGATGCGCTTATATGAGGCGCACTTGGCCGGATCTGCGGCAGACTGGCGGACCGCAACTCAGTCAATACAGTATTCTGCGAAGCGACTGGCACCCTATGACTGATATCTTTGCTCTTCTGTTGAAATAGCAATCCTGGACTTAAATATTGACTTTAGGCCAAGGTGAAACGTGATGTGACCTCTGAAGAACTTCGACTCCATCCTCGTGATTGAATGGATTCTCGTTACCCCTCTATGCCCCATGATAGGCTGAACGGGCGGAACGTCGACTCGCCCGACTCCACCAAGAAAATTAGTATCTATCAAGCTGAGACTTTCATTATGAGATGCTGTGCCGTCAGGGCGAAAAATGCTCCGCGCTTTTGCAGAACGAACCTGGCGGCCGGTCGGCGCTATATTATGAGTTGCTCGGGCTTGGTTTCAATGTTTCTTGCGGCCAAGTTCAGTCAGTCGAACTCAAGAAATCCTTGTTTTGACTTAAATGGAAGGAGTTCGAAAGTCGGAACAGTTGCCTCCAATGGCCGCGTGTTGTCCGTCAAAGATGCGCGCGTATGTTGGATGTGAAGCAGAATGTCTGCTCGAATTGCTAGTGTAAGTACCAGTACATTCAGCTTGTTTGTCCACGAGAGGCCCTTAAGAGTCTCCTTGCCCGGGCTCTTTCGGCCCGATAACAGTCAGCAAACACCTATTTCCCTGGGTCCAAATTTCAGCCTCTCTACGAAAAGGAAAGCCAGCTCTTCGGATGTAGCAACAAGTTCTCCTCCTTGACTCGAGCACAGTACTGATTGCATGTACCTAAAGTATGGAAATTTTGGAAGCTATTTTTATTCTGACCCTCTGGGTCTCGTGGTGCCGCATAATCTGCAAACCGTGGGTCACTGCACCCCGGCTCTGTAGGGTCTATAAAAGGCCAGATTTCTTGTGTTTTGGTTCCCGGGGATTTGGTTCCCGGGGACGCCGTCCTTTAGGTGCGCAGAATCCGCTTTGATTAGGTAAAGCTTCTACAATCTGCAAACACTGGCAGGCGGTGTCGAACTTGGGCTCGGCCACGCTTCTGAGCCGTCCAGGCTTTGATGGAAGCGGCAAGTAACTTTAGGCTGTGGCTGTCGATGCCTCTTGCACGTACAAGAGCCAGTTGTGATACGGTTCTGTTGCTTTTCCAGGCTGCTTTTGTTCAGGTTAGTGGCCGGGAAAGGAGAATAAACTCGTTGTGAAAGACAGATTTGAAGATTTTCACACAGCTTGCGGACATCCGCGTCAACTTCAGAAAATCCTAAACCCACACAAAAACCTTCGTGAGGATCTCTGATTCACAAACCGGAGTTTTAAAGGTAGCTTTGGGAGCCTGCTTGAACGTAGGAAGAAAAAGTGTTGAATCAGGGTCAGAACTCTCAGCAACTTGACGTTCTGCAGCAGATCGCAATCTACTGTTAGTTGAGGCCCGGACTCGAACAGCCGACGTCCAGATTCGATCACCTCCGGGGAAATCGTCCCACTGTGAGAATACTCATCCCACTCCACAAACCCAACCACGGTTGCGAGACAGTCGGTCTAAATCTATGTATTCTTGCAGCGAACCACTGGTAACGTCACCTTTCATGAGTTTGGTCCGTTACCCGCGGAACGGAACGGAAACACCAAGCGGCCGGCGACGGAACAACAGCGCGCGCTGATGGACTCCTGTTGAAAGAGCCTTTTCAAACGTCAGAGCTCTTTGCGGTATGCCTCTGGCAACTTGAATCATAGGTAACCGATGCACCGAAGTATGTGATTATACTGGCGTGCTTGGTTCAGGAAGTGTCCCCAGGTCAGAACCTCTGACTGCCAATTTCACAAGCAGAGCAGAAGTCCAAGTCGCGACATTAGCGTATGGTACGACAGTTCTACAGTGTAAATAGTGACTCCAGTACGGTTGCATCATATGATTCACGCTTCGACCACGAATCTAATAATGCCAAGGCGTATGCATCAGATTCATGATTCTGCATCAATGTTGTGATCTGATTCCAATAGGCATTTGCAAAGGCAACCGGGCATGAGTTTGATATCATACTAAGGGGCGTTATAGTGCACATGAAGGTCCGATCAAATCAGGGACAGAACATCTGATACAACAACACCGGGAACTCTCGATCTGAACCCAAACCATTCTTTTGTTACGACGTCTTCATCACGACTCGTGGACGGGCGCCTCATTGCAAATACTCTTTCATTCGAAGTCAAGCTAGTATCGCGTCCTGAATTTCTATCCCGGCCTTGGCAGAACAGGACGCTTTTGTAAGGCAACCCATCTGCATAAAATTCGACTTTGCAGTTCAATAGCTGCTAATCCGAATACTCTAAGCACGTCCGGTTCAACAACCGTCCGACTAGGTTCCCAGCCCCCAGGCTGCTCCCTGCGCCGTCTCCCGTACTTTATCTCATCCACCAACCACTTATATTTGTTGCACATCCAATGATTGCGGCGGACGTCGTCCCCCAAGACGTGCTTCAGCTTCGCGAACGTACCCGGCACCTGATAGCGTATCCACTGTATATCGTCCCGGTAGCTTCCGCCGAGGCACTCGAGCTCCGTCAACCGGGGGGCTTTAGCAAACAGCACCAGCTGCCGCTCTGGGTCCAAGTCCTCGGTGTATTCCAACCCGAATTGCCCGGTGACCTTCTCTAAAGTTGGCGCCCACTTTTCGAGCGCGTACAACCAGTGCTCGGAAGACAGTTTCCCGTCCAGGAAAAGCTTGACTTCAGTCAGTTTTGGATGAGCGTCCGCAAAGCGCCTCAGCCAAGAACCATGCAGATCTTGGTATCCAATTGGGTCGTACTTCCGACCGATTGAAAGCCGAACGAGACGCGGGCAGTGATGACGTGTCAGCCCCTTGAACACGCCAACAACGGCTGCTGGCGTCAACGAAGCGGACAAGCTGCGAAACAAGCGAAACTCCTCCAGGAGCGGCGTCCGCTGAAAGATACCGATGACGTCGTCTTCCGTCAGACCCCCCAGGCCGGTCAGCCACAGCGTTCGCAGCGGCTCGAGCGGGAACATTGTCACCGGGATCCTTGCAGGGCGAGGCGGCTGCTTGCGTTTCCGCAGCTCACGCGCAGCCCCAGCTTTGTGCGCGTCGCCCAATATAAGAGTCCGGACGCTTTTACAGCCGTAGTTTTCAGCGACCAGCGAATCGTTTTCGGACTGAGCAAGGAAAGTGATGCCGGGTGACAGCTCGAGCATCCGCAAGCAGTGTCCGAGGGAGGAGAGGGCGCTATGGAGGCCGGCCGAGGAGACGGGCGAATGGGCGATCGACAGGTGGCGGAGCGTGCCACGTTCGGCTGACGTCTTGATGATGGCGGGCAGCATGAAGGGATGTATCAGCTTGACCTGCAGAGGACCTGGGCAGTTATCAGCTTCACTCGACATACGAGTTTGAAAAAGGACAGAACATGGTGGCTACTCGTGGAAGCCCTATTAATAAGACCTCCGGACAAAGTTGTCCTCGCAGATCCTCAGGACGTCCAGAATCACGAGAAAGATTACTGTATAACCGTGTCGAAGTTTGCCTTTCTTGTGGCTTGCAGGATGGAAGTGGCCTCTTTCAAAAGTGAGCTTCACCAGAAAACTGCTTGGCGGGAAACAGACATGAGAGCAATATTTTGGTGGTTTTTATTGAAGTTCTTGCAAGTAAGCGTACAATAAGTACATCATAAAGCAAACAGTATGGCAGATTTGATTAGAGCGGGATCAACGTTTTGATGCAGAATGGAGCTGCTTACTTTCACAGAGCAACTTTTGGCAGAAGAGAAATAGGGGTGGAAAGTGAATGGGGCTCGGCTGAAAGGCGTTTTGTAAAATGGGCGTCATGAAAAACGTTCAAGAAATTGGGTTAACTGTAGGATCGTCCTCGTCTGAAAGTCTGGCTAGAAAAGAAGAGCAGGTAGCACGATGCATGCGGCCCACATTCGAACATCTGCCGCTATCATTCTAATTGTTCAGAGAAGGCAGGTATGATGGTAAAAATAGAATCGAGATTCCTTCTTTAACTTTGTCTTGAACCTATTCAAATTCTCCAGTGGTTGTTTAATTTGATAAAAAGGAAGGTGGACCGCCCATGTTTGGAAATCTTTTCTCACCTCTACTAGACTAATTGACTCCCAGGCCTTAGCCCCTAAAGCCGCCACCAGCAGCTCGCAGTTCGCCTGCGTCATCCTGACGCCACCTCCTCTGACTTTAACCTTTGTCACCCACTCCCAACGGGGCTCAGAGGTGATGAAGCGGATCACGGTCTGCAACTCATTGTTCAAGCGTTCTTTGTTGAGCTGCCACGTGCAAGGCGTGTGTGCAGCCTCGACAGCTGACTTGAAATGCTTGCTCACCAGCCTGCAACCTTTGAACCAATCTGAGGAAGCTTCTTGCAAGTAGTCGTTAAAGACGAGTTGCAGGGCTAGGAAGGGCGGGTAGTCAACTGGCACCTTGAGCTTTCTACGCGAGCCTTTGATGCCCTTAGCTGGTCGGTGGGCAGGTCCTTCATCATGCTTCAGCTTGCCTGCCATGATTGGCTACAATAAAGCATTCCCAGTTGAGCTGGCGTGATCCACCTTGTCGGTCGCGGCGCGCCTCAGACTCCTCTGAACAGATCTCTGTGATAGTAATCCCTTTGAATATGAACGCCCGTTTGAGAGATGCAGGGTTTTGCAGGCTGCTTGATTCGCAGGGTTGTGCAGGCTGCTTGATTCAGCCTCTGGGTATCATCATACAATCCTTAAATCTTCACAGGCCGCCCCAGCAGATCAGCCTTAGAGGTCTTCATGTATTGTCGTCACGTCACCGTGAGCAGACGCGCCCGCGCCTGCGTTTCATATCCCAGATTCCCACTACCGCCAGGTAGGCCTACCGTGCACGGTCGGCCGCGGGCGGGCCAGCCAGTGCAGCGCGGCCGGGCGCTACCACGTGACTCAGGGTTTCGGACCTCAAACAGTGGCGGCGGCCGCGGAAGCGAGGCGGCGGTGACGTTCGGTGACGTCCGTGCTGCCAAGATGATGACGCATCCGAAGAGGATGTATGACAATATCCAACGGTTCAGACCAAAGGAAACAGCGGAGGCTACCATATCGACGGCTGGGGTCACTTGGCTCTCTCCTGCTTCCTCGACAGGACGCACAGAGGGGTCGCTCAGAGTGCCGGCATAAAAGCGAAATCCAGAGCTCATTCGCACAAACAAAACAAAAGCATTCCAGCAAACAAGCAATCCAGCTCTCATCAGCGCACACGCACAGGAAGAAGTAGAAGCTCTAAGGAAGCTCCAAAGAAGGCTCCTTCACAGCTACAAAGCAAGCTCCAAAGGCAGCTTCATAGATTTGTGAGAAGCAAACCTCCGAAGAGCTTTCAGTGATACACAACCTAAGGAAGCCTATCTTGTCCAAGAGACAAAGCCGCGCAGGTTTCTTAGAGGCGCATTGAACGTACGCCATATCCCTTGAACAGAGGATCCCAAGAGAAGAACAAGGCAATCACACAACATAAAAGGAAACATGGCTAGTGTAGAGGACATGGTATTCAGGATGGCCGCTGTGCAGCTGATGACTGATGAGGAGGTGCAGGCGGTCCCGCAGGCGTATGAGGACGGGGAGGCAGGCTTTGGGGCGCTCAAGTCGGAGAGGGGGCTCTTCCCCCTGCGGTCTATCAAGGTTGGTATATGTCTCTGACGCTGTGCTTTTGATGACCCCCACTCGTTTCCCTCTATGTATTAGCCGTCTCAAAGCTGGCCTTCTTCAGGAGCCACCAGGTGATTTAATGGTGTGCCTTTTGTGATGGGAATTGAACAAACCCACTTGTACTTGCATGGAATAGTCCATCTTCGTCCTGGCCTTTCATAAAACGAGCTCCTTTTCAACGTGAATTTCAAATGGGTGATGGAACTGCGTTAGAATCTTGCATGGAGACGTTTTTGTTCATTTAAGAATCAAATCTTTTCCTTCATATAAACGGCACAATTACATACTCCTCCTCACTCAATAAAGATTACAGGTATTCAAAGCAGAAAGCTTGATTTTGTTGACGAGATCACGATGAGCTCGTGGAAAGGTCTCGCGAAGAATCATCTGAATGAGGAGAGGATAAGCTCTCCAACGGCTGCTTTCATATGGAGACGCTTCAGATCGATGTTGGAAGCTGTGGCAAACTCGCGTCCTTGTCCATTGTGAGAGCAGGCTTTGTTCAGATAACAGTCAGCAAAGCGAAGAAGGAGGACGTAAATCTACATAAATGCCTCAAATTTTGTTGCTAAGCACCAAATACTGCTGAAGGGCCCAGGATGTCTCATGAAGGTTCACGGGAAGAGGGGCTTACGGTGGATACCTAGGCGTTCAGAGGCGAAGCCTGCGCCCCTGTCTTGCTCTCTGGCGTAGCATTCTTGACTATTTGATCTTTGAGGAAACACAGGGCAAGAGCGCAACGAGGTGATAAGCAAGGGGGCGAGTTTGTCTGTGAATCCAAGCTTTTTTAATAGTGCTGAACAAAGCATTGACTTTGAACAAAACATTGGACGTTTCCTTCTCTCCTTCCTCTCGAAAAGTTATTTCCAAGTAACAAGCTTGAGTCCAACCACGCTAACATGGTTAATGTTGCGTCATCCTGTCCAGGTCGCCGCCAAGGTCTCGTCCCTCTCCAGCCACATCACCCTGGAGCAGACTTTCCTGAACGCCTTCGACGCTCCCTTGGAGGCGACCTACATCTTCCCCCTCCCCAGCCGGGCAGCAGTGACGTCATTCCGGCTGGAGGTTAGGGACCGGGTTGTGGAGGGGGTTACCAAGGAGAGGGAGGAGGCCCGGCAAGGGTACACACAAGCGATTGCGCAGGGTCACCGCGCTGCCATTGCTGAGGAGGAACGGTCTGGGGTAAGAGAACATATGAATACGCCTTCATTCTTTTTTCCTTCTTGCTCTGCTTATGCAAATCAAGCCGTTCTCAGTCTGTGCGTCTCTTTATTCTGGCTGCTTTGTGAGGTACACACTTCGACACTCCCTTTGTAGTAAATATTATGTAAGGACGGCAAGCTGATCTGCTTGCCATACGAGTGGTCTTCGGCGACATTTTCCTCCAGGAATTCCACAGGTTCTTTTGAGACTGCAAATCCTTGCCGTATGACATGGTTCAACGCGGCTCAGTTGTGAAATGCAGCAAATGCAGACTTGATCGAGCTTCCGTCCTCTTCTGCTGCACCCCAATAACCACGCCTTGACTGAACGAAACCTCCTCTAAACCCGCAGGTGATCACCATCCGCGTCGGCAACATCGGCGCGGGCGAAGTCGCGGCGGTGCGCCTCACGATGGCCGCGCCTCTCCCCTTCACCGACGGCGAAGCGACGTTCCGCTTTCCGCTTCTTGTAGCGCCCCGGTACATTCCGGGCGTGAAGTTGGGCGGAACGGACGTTGGCAGCGGAACGGCTGAGGACACGGACATGACGCCGGACGCTTCGAGAATCAGCCCCCCGACGATGGTTACCCTGCCGGGTTTTCCGGACCCTGTTCAACTGAGCATTGAGGTAAGTTGAGAAAGATTGCTCTTACTTTTCGCAACGAAATCCAAAATCGAGTATGATTGTGAAAGTTTCCCCGTCTTGGGAGACACACGCAGCAACAAGCAGATGCTGACTATAGTACCAGACTGTAGGTACTTCTGAACTGGAGCACGAGAAACGAAGGTTAACGACAGAAACTTTGACGACTCCATCTCTGAACCTTCAAGATTTCATTTCTGCATCGACAATTTTAAAGGGAATAGAAAAGTTTCCGCCTTTGATACGCTGCAACTGAAAACCACGGGTTCCCTCTTTTGAGAAGTCAGCGGCAATGGGAATAACGGCTTACAAAGGTTCTCTTGCAAAATGCAGGTTGAGTTCGACGCCGCCTCGCTTCCGGTCTCCAACGTCCGCTCTAGCTTGCACACCGTCACGCTCACCGATGTCGAAGCGGACGGCCAGCAGGGTGCCACGTCACCCTCTGTCGCCATCCGACGGCTCAAACTGGACCCCGAGGGAGACCGCCGTCTGAACCGAGACTTCATCCTCCGTTTCAACGTCACGACTCCGTCACTGATGACGGCATCGCTGGTGCTGTCAGACGACCAGGGCGGCGAGTCCCAGGAAGGCACGTGGCAGCTGACTCTGATCGCGCCGCAGGGGGGTGCAAGTGGCGGGGCAACGACCCCCCGGGATGTGGCTTTCGTGCTCGACAGGTCGGGGTCAATGAGCGGCTGGAAGATGGTAGCAGCTAGGAGCGCCACCGCGCGTGTGGTAAGTCATATGTCCCAATTCTTCTCTTCGTTTTATTGCTTCTCTGAAGGGCAGCCAGCCAAAGACGTAACACTACAAGCTGGTATCTTCTCGCCGTCACTGCTCTTAGCAATGATGTTTCCGCTTCGAAACGGGTTGCACTGGGATTCTTTTTATCTAGGTCGTGGATGATTATGGTGGTTGGACGAGAGGCCTTTGGTGAGTTGAAAAAAAGTTTCTCATGCGCACTATGTACGCAAAATTTTGGCTGCCAAACGTCGAAATGTACTTTCAGTTTAGAGAAGGTTCATCAACAAAAGATGGACTTACTTGAAGTTAAAGTATTGATTCTGTGCGCTTCGCACGAGAAGCTGTCAAACGGTAATCTCTGAACTTCCCTGCGCTTTCTCCTCTCACCAGGTTGACACTCTGACCGACGCCGACCGCTTCACGCTCCTCGCCTTCGACAATTCCATTGAGACCCCCCCGGGGCATTCGATTCACTCTCTGGTCGCCGCAACAGACTACAACCGCCAGTCTGTGGTCAACTATCTGTCGAAGCTGGAGGCCCGGGGGGGGACCGAGATGGCCGGGCCTTTGGAGCGCGCGGCCGACGCGCTCCAGGCACCGCGGGTTCAGGGTTCCGGAGGGTTTTGGCCGCCACGTGGCGCGGAGGCCGCGGCGGTTAGGGACCGGGTTTTGGTGCTGGTTACGGACGGGCAGGTTGGGGACGAGGACTGGATCATGGGAGAGCTGGCGCCAAAATTACAGGTAGGTGCTTCGAACGCGTCCTTTGTCCAGTTACGTTGCGCATGAGAGTTGGTGCGGAGCGTTTTTCATGCTAGACAAGCCGCTGCAGAAATGCGTTCCGCAGCGACAGGAAACATTTAAGCTTGTTTTAGGCTTCTCAAAAAATACAAAAAGTCGATGTTACCCTCGCTGATCTCACGTGAGAGTGTCGTCTTTGAACGTGTCGAGACAAAAGTACGACCTTCCTGGCCATGAGGTAGTCACAGGTGAAAGCAAAGAGCTCTCAAACGCTCTCTTGTATCAGTCCTTCTAGAATTCACCAATAACAACTTCTCTCCGAGCACCACAAGAGATTTCAAAGAAGAAAGGGATAATCCGCAACGTCTTTGAAGGACCTTTTCAAAGCATACAGGCGTCAATCTACACGACACTTCCCTTGCATCTTCAATCCTTGCTCACCATTCCGTACCGTTCCAATATTACAGGGCGTTCGCATCTTCACCCTGGGCATCGACCAGTCCGTCAACGAGGGCTTCCTCACTCGCTTCGCCGCCCTTACTCCGGGGGGCGCCTGCGAGCTCGTCGAAAGCCAGGGCCGCCTCGAAAACGCTATGGACCGCATCCACCGGCTTATCGCCACCCCCGCGCTTATCGACGTCCAGATTGACGGCCCCCGAGGCTCCGGAATCGAGCCCATGCTTGACGCTACGTCGCCCGCGAAACTGGGGGCGGTCTTCACCGGCATACCGGCAGTTGTCAGCGGTAGGTACCGCAAGACCGCGGCGCAAAGTTTGGGCGCGGCCGCGGGAGGCGGCGGCCGCTTCGTGACCGTTTCGGCGAACTTGACCGCGGCCGGCGAAAACTGGAACGAAGCTGTTCCGGCGCAGCAAACCCTGAACCCAGCGCTGGGCGCGCTCTGGGCGCGCGCGCGCTCATCCGCGAGCTCGACGACCGCTACACGATCGCGGCCGCGCCCCGCTACACCAGCTACGGCGTCAAGGACTCAAACCCCGAGAAACCCGACGAGCTGCGCGCGCGCATCCTGGCGCTGTCGCTGCGCTTCAGCGTCCTCTGCCGCTTCAGCGCGTTCGTGGCCGCGGATCGCGCGGAGAAGGTCGAATCGGACGGCGCTCCGTTGACGCAAGTGACGCAGCCAGTGGAGGCCCCCGGGGGTTGGAAGCTGGGCGCTATGGGCGGAAGGGGCGGAAGGGGCGGAATGCCCGGAGCGGCCCCCCAGGCGAGCTGCGGGGCGTCGAGGGGACTCGCCAAAAAGGAGAGAGGCAGCATCCGCATTACGCGCCAGACTGCACGGCCCCAAGGAGGGTTGAAGGGATTGAGCCCGGGAGTCGTCCCGACAAGCGCGCCGTTTTACACCGGGGAAGGAATGGGCTGCGAAGAGAGTGCGGAATGCGACGCCGCCGCCCCCTATCGCGACCCGGTGTGGGAGTCAGCGATCTCGGGAGCCAGTGCGGGGAGCACACGTGGCGGGGCTGCGGCGCACAAGAAGGCCAAGAGAATCGGCACCGCCACGGGAGCTTCCGCGAAACCCTTAAACCCCGGCGATCAGCGCGCGGCGGTCGCGGGGTGTCTGGAGACGGTCCGCGCGCTACAGAGCCCGGGGCAGGTGGCGGACGGCGATCTGCTGAAGAAACTGGTGGAGGGTTTAAGGGAGGTTTTGGCGCGGGTCATGGAGCGCTGGCAGACTGCGGCGTCGTTCGATGTGGTGAGAAAGGCGGCGAAGGCGTTTGAGGCGGGCGGGGCACTCGACCGGACACTCTTGGGGGAGCTGCAGGCGGCACTGGAGAGGATCGAGCAGTCTTTGGGGTCGCCGTAAAGCAGAGCTAGCGTCTTTTGAAAGAGATGAGAAGATCAGAGGCTTATAGGGGGAGGTCGATAACTCAGAAATGAGCAGGAGTGATGGGGAAACAGTCGCAGAAAGGTCCATTTGGGAGCGAGGTACATGAGAAAACAGAGAGTTTGATTCAAGCAGGAAGATCAGGGGGATCTGTCGAGTCGGACTGAAACCGGCGAAATGAAGCTCCAGTCAGATGAGGATAGGGTGCCAGTTTTGAATCAGACTCCGATGTTCCTTTCCACAAACTTTGCACGAAAAGCACATTTGCAACCCAAGTAGAAGAAAAGGGACCGTCTGTCATGGAGAAAAGAGTCGGGCGGCGTCCCTGGGCTTATGCTTCTGGGTCAGTGTAGAGCATTGCAATAATGATGTACAAAGAGACGGCTTGCAGAGTATCATGGGGTTACTGCTGGAAGTTACAAGGGCGAATGAACATGTCTTGAGTGTAGTTAGTGGAGACATGCTATGATGGTGCTGAAACCATGACGGACTTTTGGGTTGTTCGTTGGTTATTTCAATAGCTGCATGGGACTCTTAAGGCGGGACCGTCCAGATGTCGAATCGATCGCGGGATTGTTTCAGTGTGTAAGAAGCCCCGGCTGACTTTTGTATATCTTCCACGAACTGGGATCTTTGAGGACAGAAGAAGCGTAGGTTAGAATGTAGGACGGTTTGGACAAATATTCACATTCAAGCGCAAGTATGAGTCCCGCGGTGTGACTCACGCCGACGATCTGCCGGATCGACAGGCTCCAGCTAGTATGTATCGATGAGAACTGTCGAAGCCCTTTCCATATAAAAGCGAGCTCTTGGTTGCATGCCACACTGTGCCCGCAGCATGCCGATACTCTTGCACAGGCCTACGCGCCCATCATTGTATGCACTGAGACTAATCCACACTACATGGGCGCCGAGACCGCCGGCCTGAAGAACGAAACTGTCATAATTATAGTGGCTCAAATCGGATTCATGCTTCACAAGAAAGCTCGATCTGTAGGCCAACTTATGTGCATGCAGACTTCAGGACCAAACGGTCTACTTCCGAAGGTTTTTGTCCTTCATTGCAAATCGGTCTCAGTTGCACCAAAATTACCTTCTGCATGCCCCGCTCAGACAACCAGCCCCTCTCAATAAGCCGGCTCAGACATTAGCTCTAGTTACCAGTTAGTCCAATAATCAAATGAAAGTTGCTTAGGCACGTCCAACCTTTACGTTAACAACCATGTCTTAAAGTAAGCAACCGTCACCCATCCAATTGCATCCGTCAACACGCCTCAAGATCCTGTTCCTAGACTGCCTACTTTCCACGGAGTTGATGGTAGGCCTGCCTCAATTGAACATGCGTGCCTCGAGCTAGATTTCTTGGCGTTTCTCAGACCTTTTCCTAGATCTACTGAAGGAGTCAATTGAGTTCCTTGGCAATGCATTATGTACCATCATATGGTCATTTATTGTCTACAAAAAAAGGTGAATGCTTAGACTTTTAGCTGCTTTTTTGCCTAGGTGTAGAACGTATCAACAGATTTGATCAAGAAATTCTCACTTCGTTTCGAAGTTTATCAAACTTTGGCTCCATTTTGACTTCTTCTAAGCGTCAACGGCCGGCCTTTCGTTTCTTTTGCAGGACCCAGAAGATGCGCTTCTGAACATGCATGACATGCCCGACCTGATGGGCTACGACCACGTATGCCAATCATTGCAAAGCGCCCAGAAAGATCACCCCCGCGCTTTTTCCACAGCCGGCAAGGTGCCCTGTTCCAACGACCCAAGCAGGCTCGCGCATCTGCACCACGTTTCTGCAGCCTTTCACACAGGCGGCCGGAACCCCCAGCTAGAAAACCCGAGCTGAAGCCGGTCCTGTCCCCTAGAGATCCCTAAATTCGCGGACGAGACGGTGAAGCAAAAGGTGCTCACGCTGGTTGCGGCAAGCCCCTCCTCACGGGTGAACGGAGCGTTTCTAGAAACCCTCGTAGAAACGCTCGACCCGACAGCGGGCGTTCGAGAAGCTCAAAAGAACAGACTGCCGGCCTTCTTCACCCCGCTCGGGTCTTGTCGCCGCATCCAAGAGAACGGTCCAATCCTGCAAGACGGAACTAGACGGCCACATCCATACTCGGGGGAACAAGCAGGAGGTGATTGGAATTACAAGCACGTCGCATATTAAGAACCACTCGGAGGAGTGCAGAGCGGAACGCGACCCCGAGCTTCTGGCGGATGTGCTCGCGGGCATTAGCCTCGAGACGCCCGAGCAAACCTGGAACCACGACTCTATACATCTAGCTTCGGATACGGGAATGAGTTTAGAGCTCTTCCTTTTCTCCGCGCGGCTTCGGACGCACAACGTGAACGAGAGCATCCGCGCGAAGCAGAAGCGGAGTCTCGAAAAAGTAGTTGCCGCGGGGATCCGTCGCGGGGGGCCGGACGTCCGGATCACGGAAGACCAGTACGGACGGTTCACGGTGGAAGCGATCGCTGCAGGGCCGCGGGCAGCCGCAGGCGCGGGGCAAGACGCGGGGCAGGTCGACGTGGTGGCCCCCGTCAAGCCGCCCACGCACGCGCCACGTGGCAGCCACCCGGGAGGCATCCAAGCGGGCGGTGCGTCTGAGAGTGAGGAGGCGACAGGGTGCAACGAGCCCGCCACCGACAGAGCCGCCCCGGTCAGCCCCTTCGACTCCGTGGCAGCAGCGCTGGAGGCTTTCGCCCACCTTCGGACAGTGTGCGGACAGCAGCGGTCCCCGGTGAATGCGTCCCGAGCAGTTGTCAGGCCCAGGAAGGTCGGACCGGGGCGGACGGTCGCCACGTCCTCGGGACCGGGGCGTACACCCGATTGGGTCTGTCGGGCTTTGCAGTGCCCGAAGCAGGTGAAGTCGACTGGGAGAATCTCCCTCTGGGGCTTGGCGCGGCGCTCCGGCGGGGAACGGCGGTGCCCGGTGATGACGCCCCGGGCAGCAGGACACGGCGGATAGCGGACGGACGGGCGGTTGAGCGCGGAGCGGCGCTGCCCGATGATGAAGCCCTCGCACCCTGCGCAGACGACGGAGTAGCCCTCAGGCGAGCGGCCGCACGTGGCGACCACGCCCCCGGCCGAACGGTGCGCCACGTGGCAGACAGTGGTGAAGCGGCGCTGACCAGTGCCAATGACGCCTCGATGGACGGCCGGTCGGCACGTGGAGGGCCGCTGCCTGATGAAGACGTCCTGGGCGCAGCCAGGCCATCAACGGTCCTTGTTGAGGACTTTCGGCGCCGGCTGCAGCCCTTGGAGGACAACCAAAACACTCCGCTTGAAGGTGAGGATGGCTTGCAGCTCCATTTTTCATCGTCTTTGTTGCCTCACAGACTCTCGCTTCTGAAAATGAACCCCCGCACATCAATTTGAATTGATAACAGGAGGCTTATTCTAACAACTCTAGATGATCATTTCAATGCTTGTCAAACTTCATATTTCAGAGCGAGGGTCGTGTGACTTCAGTTTATGCAATTATGTGCACGTCAAAGATTGGATTTTTGTATTGCCCTCTTGCCAAAGTCGGTTTACTTCTTTACCCGCTACTTCTGACCAAAAAGGCAGCATGCTTTCTCTTGCTTTCCAAAGAGAGGATTTCACGTCATGAAGCTTTTGAAACAGAATTGCGTGCTAAGATTGTCCGTCTTCACTCTTCCATTCACTCTTCCGTTGTCAATGGAGCGCTATCACGAACTGCACAATATCCCTTCGGCAGGCCCTTTGATCGACTCGCCGCAGCAAGTCCGTCGACGTCCTCGCACCGGGAGGAGCCCGTTCTCGCCAGCCAGCAGCCAAACCGTCGCCCCAAAAGACGACCATGAATTCGGAGGGGGCCTAGACTTTTCCCAGCCCAACGAAGTCCCGAAGGTGCCTGGCAGGGGGTCTCTGCACACTCTGGCAGGCACCGTGCACAGTGAAACGAGGGTAGAGCGCGGCGCGCTGATGCCCGGTCGACAGGCAACCCCTTCCGGCTTCGCAGGCCACGTGGCAAACGGAACGACCTGGTTCGGGTGGGGTGCGGAGGAGCTGCTCGGTAATCAATTCCCAGGCGTGGACTCGATGCGCGGCGGAGCTGCTCAGTGGACAGCTCCTTGGTGGATGGGGCGCACCGGTGGTGCTCGACGGACAGGCTCGGGGTACAGTCTCAACCGGACGGGGCGCGGCGGGACTGCCCGGTAGACAGGCGTTGGACTCAATCGGGCGAAGCGCTGCGGAGGTGCGCGGTGGACAGCCCCAAAGCACGGACCAGTTCGAACGGGGAGCAGCGTAGTTGCCCGGTAGACAGCTTCCAGGCGCGGAATCAACCGGACGGGACAGAGCGGAGGTGCCCGGTGGACAGCTCCGGCCGGGTGGAGACCAGCTTGAACGCGCCGCGGCGGCGGTGCGCGGTCAACAGCCCCTTCGCGCGGACGCTGTTGGGCCACGCGCGGCGGGTATGCCCGGTGGACAGCCCCCGAGCGCACACTCGATCAGGAGGAGCGCCTCGGGGGTGCCCGGTAGACAGCCCTGGGTGCGGATGCGGTCGGACACGCCGCAGTGATCGTGCCCGGTGAAGAGGGCGCGGACTTCATCGCGCAGAGCACCACGAGGTGGCCCGGTGGGCAGCTCCCGGGCGCGAACGCGATCGATCGGGACACGCCGGTGGTGCCCGAAGGACAGGCCCCGGGCGAAAGCACCATCAGGTGCGAGGCTGTGGAGCTGCTCGGTGGACAGCTCCGTTTGGGCGGGGGCCAAAACTTGCGGGGCGCGGCGGGGGTGCGTGGTCGACCGTCGACCTTAGGCACAATGGCAACTGGGCAGAACGCGCCGGAGGAGCTCCCGGGCGCGCACTCCACCGGGCGAAGCGCCGCGGGCGTGCTCGGTAGACAGCCCCCTGGCGCAGCCTTCGCTGAACCGGGCACGGTCGAGGGCGGTCGATGCGGGGCGAGGGTGCCTGATGGACTGGCCCCCAGCTCGGAGTCAGTGCGGGGCTCGGCGCGGATTCCATCATTTTTGTCGAAGAGTTCCGGAGACGGCTGCAACCATTGGATGACTTGGAAGAATCTGGGCAACATGAAAACGTGGCACCGTCACCACAAGGTACGTAACAAGATATTTGTCTGCCAACCATTCTTTCAACATCGAGGACAGACCTCGGCTGTTTTTATAAGTTGTCCGTTGGAGCTTTCATACTTTGTAATGCAATCCGATTTCTTGCCGCCTGTCCAAGAATAGATTCACGAAGGCTTTGCTCAGCTTGATGCGTCTGCAATTTAGTATCTTGGCATGACTTTCTTGTCCGAAAGCTTCTAACGAGGATTGAAGATGTGCATCTCGTCGTAGGCTTTAATCTGCTCATGGCACGAAGCGACCAAGACCTTGCGCAATCAAAGCAGAGTAAAATAACGGTCGTGAACGTATCTGTTTTTTCCTACTAATCTTCGATCATGTTCTACTCATGGCCGCGATTGTCTTGGAACGAACTGATCTGAAGGTTTATCTTCTCCAGATTGGTGTAACAGCTTTCAAAATGCAATCTCTCTTGATCAGGATCTTCCGCAGCTGAGTCGCCCCAACAAGTTCGACAACGGCCGCGCCTTGGGAGAAGCCCATTCTCCCCCGATGCCAGTCGAGACGACATTTTAGAAGTCTGCCGCGACCTTAGCCGCCCTTTCACAAACTTCTACCAGATGGATCCGCAAGGACAAGCCGCGTGGCGGGCTAACCGTAACCGAAAACATCCGGAGCGCTCACCCATGAAGTCAAATAAACTCAGAACGGGGACTCGGAGTTCAGCTCGAGACGTTTCAGATCCCGATGATGAGGGAGAAGGGGGTCTTGAGCGCCCGGACTTTGTGGGCGAGTTGAGCCCTCGCATGGCGCAGATCGGTCAGCTTCTCGGGGGCACGTGGCCACTGTTCGAGGAGCACGCGCAGAGCGAGAGTCACCTGGGAACCGGTTTGAGCGGTCAATTGATGAGCCGGGAGCGCGGAACGGGGACCCGGGGTCTGGTAAGTGTACGAAGAGGCCTAAAAGCCCCGCCACCTGAGCTTCGAAGGACATCAGCGAGAGAAGCCGCAGCTGATGGAACTCAAAGGACCAGCGGGCCACTTTGGCGGCCAAACGAACCACGGCGGCCGGGCAACGACAATCTGGAAGCTGCGGAGGGCGCCCTTTCATTGAGGAAGAGTCCTCTGGGAGGATCGAGTACCGGCGACGCGCCGGCCGCAGCGAGTTCCGGAAACCCTTCGCACGGTCCCAAGGCTTCCGGCTCAAGCCTCCCGGAAGGTGCCACGTGGCAGCTCGGAGTGGCGGAGGAGGGTTTCGATGCAGTAGTCGTGACAGCGCCTCTCGATCAAGGCCCTGACATAGACGTTGCTTCCATTATTGCCGCTTACAACTCTGGACGAGGGTAGGGCCGCGCTTTGGAAGTCCCACGACATGAAGATGAAGTATTTTGTAACGTGGTGCAGCAACCAAGTGAGAGTTTTGTAATCTTCCACTTATTCAAGGATACAACTAATGTCAAAAGCCAGGTCATCGGCAAAGTAACGAACTCCGATAAACTGTCTGGGAACGTTCATTTTGGTCAAGACGCCCATGGGAGGCCCAAAAGGTTCAAAATGGAACGGATTAATGGATGCGGCCCCATCAGATGCATCTTTTTGCCACTCTTCATATTGGTACGTACATGCATGACGATGCAGTCTTCATTTGAGTCCTATGACCGTATTTGTAGAATTGAATTGAGCGTGCTTGAACCTGTTTCTTTTTCGCAAGAAAACGAGATTTGATGAAAGACATCTGATGATGCAATAAAATGAAAGACTTGAGCTACTTAGTCGATTGGTTTGGCATATATGCAATTGATATATGCTCGGCGGCCAAGGTGCATTTGAAGTTGTGTAGTACGTCTTGCATATACCATGCCGTAATTTGCATGCATGCTATAGCATGTATACATCTGGCACCCGTCCTAGCATGCGCGCGGCTCACTGGCTGGTAGATTGCAGCCGCATGTTTGTAAGGCGTAATCAGGTCGTCACCACCACTAATTCTGGGCGAGTCATACCCAGTGACTTCACCGTTGTATAGCTTGCCCGGCCTTAGCCGGCAATCGTAAAATGGCATCAAAAGATCGTACACGTAGATGTACACGCTAGCTCGGTACAACAGCGGTGCGTCATAAGAATACATGCACACGTGATTCCGATCTTATTTAGACCATTGGTTGACGGGCATCCTGCTAAGCGGCCGTTGCAAGTGAATTGGTCATGCACGCAGGCGCCACGTCTATGTGGTCTGAATAGGAAGCAAGCAGAAACGAAATACAGTGTCAAGTATTCATGGGAGGCTCATACAGAGGCAAAGAGTCTGGTCCTGCCCTCACACCGTACAATCACGCGCACCAACCTCTGTTTTATGCTGCACCGTCAGACTTTCTGCAAAATCTAAAAGCGGTCATCCACAACTGGATTGCGATGCGGTCTTTCCGGTTGGCTCCTGTGAATCGACACTGTACCTTGACCAGAAACACTTGAATGACTTCAACTTACAACATGCTAACAACGTAGTACGTCCGGTGCGATGTACTTTGGCTGCTTATAACATCGAGTATCCCCATAGTTGGGAAAGCAACGTACCCGATACTACCAGCTTGAAGCGGTTGCCTGTCAGCGCTTTCGTTCGAGCCGCTCACTCGACCGCAGACTGTCCAGATAACTTAAAATGGAACCCTACGAAATATTGTTAACTACTGTACAGGTGCGCGTCCAGTTCCGCCGGTGCACTTCGAGTCCGCCCTCCATCTGCTGTCGGAATGGAAAGACGGACGGGGTCAGAAGGAACGTGAATCGAAGAACCTTCAGAGATCGACTGCCCAGCAGATACAGCCAAGTCGTCGAGGGAGAAAGAAAGCGCTGTCAATGGCGTGGCGTTGTGATCCAGTGCGAGATCGCTCAAGGAGCCGAATTGAGCGGGCGGGAAGGCGGGGAGCACCACGTGGCAAATGGCACCGTGGGCGGTTAACGACCTTCTTAAAGAAAGTGCAGCATGTCCGCTCAGGAAGCATGGACGGCTCGAGAAAGACGACCGTTTGAAAAACCGAACTGAAAGACAGGGCGGCCACAAAACCGGCAGGCAAAGCATTCTCTTCGGATACCAAGGGCTCAACGCTATGGAAGGAATGGTGTGGCAACCTCACTTGCGATGGGTTTTCTTGGCAGGCCGCCCTTTACTGCCATTTTGGGAAAGGGAAAGAAAGCAAACGAAAAAAAGTACACAGTTTGCTACCTCCTCACCTTGCTTTCAAATTGCTGGTCTAGCGCTCTGTAACGCGCAATTGACAAACTGGCTCCGGGTTCGAGCCGTCAAACCAGCGTCGTCGTCCACTCTCGACGGAATCAGATACAGTTGAAACCTGCAAGGGATCAAACAGCGACGTTACTGGTAGTGACCTTCTCGTGTGAGCTGACTAAAAGGAGGTCATAACCTTTCTTTTCACACGGAATGAGGACTATTAGCAAAGACGTGGCAAACTACGCATCTTGTCAGTCCCCGCTCTTCTCTGAGGAGGACGCCAAGCAACGTGGTACGACAATTTCAAAAGGAACAAAAGGCTGCGCGCTCGATTAAGCCCAAACCTGCGTTAGTGCCGCACCTCACCTTGTTGCAACTATTCCTGACCGGATAATAGCTTCATCAGCTTCGAGCGTTTCAATCGTTCTTTCACAATTGACCCCATCGAAAAAGATGACACTTCCGCTTGCTGAAAAGTCGAAGGTTCGCTGCCCTTCCACCAGTCCTTACATTTTCGTTTGCCCCTTCCCCCTTTCGTCGCCCACGTGTTGCCCATCACTGAGAGCAAGAAAAACCGAAGATTCTGTTTCCCTCACCTCGACGAGTCGCCGCCCGAGCTTTCGTTGCCCGAGCGGGCCCAACCTCGGCGTCGACGTGCCCTCGGAGCTCTTGCGGGAGGCCCCAGTCGGGTTCTCCTGGCTGCCTCCCAGCGGTGTTCCGGCCCCCCGGCTTTCGGTGAGGAACGCGGGGCGCTCAGCGGGGGGCTCCATCTCCGGACGTATTATACAATCTGCAACAAGTGAGTACAGTATGCAACGCGTGATTCGGGTTGTGAACTAGGTCCGTCCCTCGAGGAGAACACTTAAAAGAAAGAGAGAAGGAGCAGGAGGGTGACCATGTCCATTGAAGGGTCTGCCAATCGGGTATGACGCTTGTTAAGACTCCTTGCGGACGTGAATGCATCAAAGAGCAGGACGGCGTGTCAGATAGTGTTTGAGACATGGGCGCGGCAGAGCTGACTGTCAACTGGTCAAAGAAGCTTGGCACATTGACCAAGCCTGGAAATAGCTTAACTACAGGATCCGGGGTCCGAGAACGCCACCGGTTTACTGACCAGGTCACGCTTACCAGACGCGCATCGCAAAAGCTCTAGGAACGTGGGCTGCGGCAGGAGGACACGTGGCAGGCACCAAAGCAGCGCGCGCTAGCTGCCATACCGCGCGCAGCGCCTCGAGCCGCCCCCTTCGGACTGACGACCAGAGCGCGACTGCGTCGGTCCCGCTTTGCGCGAGGCGTTTGGAGGGGGATCCCACTGGCGACCCTTCGGAAGCGGCGGGGCTGCCAGGACGTCGACGAGCGTGGAAGAGAGAGTGGCCTGGAGGTTCTCTTCAACCCGCCGGAGCGCCGCACCAGGGACAGCACGAACCGGTCGGCTCCGAGGGCCTCCCAGTCATGCTTGTGTCCGCGCGCGGGCGACAAGAATGTGAATACTCCCTGGAACAATAGAGACTAATCAGAGGCTTCGAGGAGGTTGAGCAGAGAATAAGGAGGATTCATGGAGACACCACAAACATATGCTACGCACACGTCATGCAGAGCTTGAGCAAAGATTAAGCGAAGAAGACGCATCGACTTAGCACTTGTGTGTTCATGGTCAAAATCTGAAGAAGTTGCACCACACAGACGGAAATGACGGCCAGAACTCCCTTCGAAAGGATTTTTACCAACCACAGCGCAATTCAAAACGATACTCATAAGATAAGGACATGGAGAGGCACCGCACCACGGCCAAGCAGCTTTGGGGCCCCGGTGAGCTGGCGCAGCTCCCGGGTTCATGCACTCGTTGGGCCCTTGAAAATCGGGCGTTTGCTGCGTAGGGCTCCCCAGGATCCCGCCTGCCTCGTCCGGGGCGGCCTGCGCAGCACGTTTCGCCTCTGCTTCCAGCTCTTGGAGGCGCCGCCCGAGCGCCCTGGCGGCCGCGAAGCCCTCCTCGGTTGCTCGACGACCTTTCATCTCGACCTAGAGACCGAAAAAGGCGGGTCGGAGGCTTTCCATTGATCGAAGCCCGCTCTCCGCCTTCCTTCACATATGAGATGCAAAAGCGGAAATGAGTACTACGGCGGCTTTGCTTCGTATACATTGGACGGGTTCAGACAGAGATGTGAACTGCTAAGGCGATAGGGATTAAATCTACAGCCTCATGGCGACCAGCACTCTACTCATCTTGGCCTCCGGAAACGACGAGTCCAGCCTGCCAGGATAACACTTCTTCAACCGGGCACCACTCTCAGAAAGTTAAGCACCGCAAAAACATCTCACGACTTTGCTTAGCAGCTCAAGATGGTACAGCGGCTGACCTGCCTCGAACGAAAAGCTACCCAAGCATCAGACCCAAAAGGCGTACGACAACCACACTAGGTCTGATCAAACCTGGCCCGCCTAACCCAAACCTAATTCGATTGCAAACATTTGCCGGCTGCGCAGAGATTGGACCGGTTGACGACTTGGATGCCGATTACCGAAGGACCAAAGTCTGCGTCATGCATTTGGCGTCGGGAACAGTCAGGCGGAAAGGTTCAATCGACTGTGCGATAAGAATGGGAGTCCCCCGCGAGCCACTTCCCTACCTGGCCCGCAGCTGCTCGACTCCATTGGGCGAGCTGCCCCTCGAGCGCGTACTTCTCCTGCCGCGCAAACTGCAGCTCCCCCCGCCATCGCCCGCAGCTCTCTCTCTCCGACCACGCGCATCGCCTCCGCCGCGTCGGCCAATTGTCGGGCCCACGCCTCGGGGTTTGGACAAGTTGCTATTTTGGGGCCCGGGGGCCTGTCCCCACCCGGAGAGAGGGTTCGGTGTCGCGAGTGGGGGGAGAAAGGGGTCGGGGTTGGGGGGTGGTCGTGGTGGAAGGCGTGGTGCGCGAGCACTTGGAGGCGAGCCCTGAGGGAATGGACTTCGCGTTCTTTGAGTGCGCGGTACCTGTAGGAAAGTACGGTCGTCGGTCAGTGGACATTCAAGAGGAGGCGGCTTTAGAACAAGCATTCCTTTTACAGCGTGCACACTTGAAGCCTTCAAGAAGGAACGAGTCGGAAAAGCCAACAGAACGCGCTACAAGACTGGAAGGTTTTGGGAGGAGTTTAAGGACGCGACATCGACCAAGCGGGACGGAGATAATCGGATTCTAAGGCAGAAAAGCATACTGCTGAACTCATGAAGAGCAACACGCTCATAAGCAGAGGGTTTCGTTGAGAAGGAAGGGCAGCAGTCCCCGCACTTAGTGCACATCCTCCTCGAACTCCGCTACTTCGTCCACGGCACCCGTCCCGCTCGCAGTGATTCCGCTTCCTCACCTTTTGCTGGAATCGCGTCTCGTGGAGGACCACAAGCTCCTCGAGCTGTGTTAGTTTCCGGCGGCTCGTGGCCGCTCTTCCTGGGCGGCCGGCGCCGCCTGAAACAGGGCCTTTTGGTGGTCTGCTTCCAAAGTGTGCAGGGCCTTTGGGGCTGACCTCACGTGCTGGTGCGCCAGGTAGCACTCGGCGGTCTTGCTCTGGAGCTGGTCTTCGAGACTGCGAGGAGAAGGATTCGAGGTCGGGCAAGCATTGCATCCAATACGAAGTCTGGATTATTTGGGGTCCAAAGAGCATCGTAGCTGGTTTCCCTGTGACTTTTAAAGTTGATTAGGTCACGCTCTTGAAAAGCTGTGATCGCTATCCAGATCTCGACGTTCTTATCAATAAAGTAACCAGATCTCCGCACTGCTGACGTCATACACCCACTTCCAACGGCCTTGTGATCCTGTTCTCACCGTTGAAGTGGTTCCTTTCTCGATTGTATGCTCTATAGCAGCATATGTCCTTTCCGAGGCTGGTTGTATGTAAACTCTGGTTGCGTCCTCGTATACTGTCCACCATAATCCTATACATGCTGAGTTGAAGGGATCCTCACCTCCATTTTCGGCCCCCTTGGAGCACTAGTTCTTCGAGTTGTCTAAACGAGCTGTACTCTTGTGAATACCAATACTCAGTTGACTACGTAAGCATACAACTGGAGGAAGAAACTAACTGTTCAGTGCCCACCTAGTAGCCTCCGTATCCAGCTCGGCCCCCACCCCGCGCGCCTTGTTAAGCGTCTGCCCCAGGATCCGCTGCACCGCAACGGCACTCTTCTTCCAGCGCATCCATGCGCAGGGCCGCCGCCAGCTGCTTGCCCGCGGCCCCACATCCCAGTCCATCCGCATGCGCGCCCGCCAGCTCCCCCTCCAGCCGCTCAAACTCGTTCCTCGGTTTATTGACTTCTTCTAGAGCCGAGATGTGCACGGTCTGGTCCTTGGCGCTGTGTTCTCACGAGTAGGACGCTCGCGAGGACGAGTGTGAGCGGGCGCCCCCGATCACGATGACCTGCTGACCAACGAAAACAGCCTGATGGAACGCCCGTCCCTTGGAGAAAGACCACGAAGTATTTCATGAGGTATCCCGGCGGCAACAAAGTTTCGTCCCACAATTAGAATTGCGGGTTCCTTGAAAGTTGCATCAGCCCTGAAATTAGTTTGAAGGTGCCAACCCAAGAACCTTCTTGAGTCAAGCACAGGATCACCATACTCTGACAAAGATAGAATTTGATTGAGACTGAAGTACTGTCTGATTCAAGCTTCAAACCTCTCATGAGAGCCAAACTGTGCATCTGCCTTCATGTTGGGCAGGGTGGGCTAGGCTGGGTGCTGTATCTCTAGACCATCAAATTGAGCGCAGCATTGAAAGCTTGACCCACCACTCGGCGATAGAAGTAAGTCCACAAGCGCCGCTGACTTCGCAAGCGGCTTCCGCTCATTGACATTCCAAAACCTTTGATTGTCCCCCTTATTTATCAGCCACTGTCCGAATGAGCCACTGGAGATGTACCTGGCCCTCTTTGAAAGTGATGGTCTCTTTGACAAACAAGCCTCTGGGGTGAGCTACATCTACTCGAAGACAAAGATCCAGCCCTGAACACCAGAAGCCCTTTCTCCATTTCTCTGTAGCTTCATGTCCAACATCTTACCTTCTCAGGCAGGTCGTGCGTGACGCCACGCTGTCTTCAGCCACGGAGTCTCAAAGCTTCTTTCAGGAAGTGTGCTGCTATGCAGCTCACGGCAGCAGTACGAGAATAATAAAGGAGAAGGGCTGGATTGGTCTTATCGAACGCTACAGCTTTCATTGATGGCCTGTAGCATCCGCGAGAGCTCATGCGAGTTGTCTTTGTAGCTTCTTTCAAACTGATGTCTCTAATTCAGCGCCAGAATCTTTTTAGTAGAGAGCTGGTGGTCAGAGGCTGCAATCCTAGCTTCCTAGTATCTATCATGCTCCGCCGGCGGTCCCTTCGCCGAAGCAATGCTATGAGGGGCACTTTTACAGTTTGGTCTCCGAGAGTCCAACCCCTGATCTTTGGCAAACTGCCTTTCGCAACAAGCTTTCTACCACATTGCAGAACAACACAAAGAGCACTTCTGCGCTATGCGGCCGCTCCATGCATGCAGCCGCCTTCTCAGTGCGACAGTGCCACCCTCGTGCCACCATGAGGGAGAGAGGATGATCCCTCAGTCTTTATAAGCTATAGTTACGGATGACCGGCTGCTGTCAGCTAGCTTGTATACGTATATTGAGAGTATACCGGTATAGGTACTTACAAGCATGTAGAAATGTAGATCATTCCAATGCGTTGGTATACGGTACATTAAACTTAAAGTTCATGATATAAGGGCATACGGATAAGCGCTTTCTCGAGGCCGCCTCCATGGAGAAGACTGTGACGCTTCACAGCTTCTTGAAAGAGGAGCCAAGTCCAGGACTTTGCTCGACGATCTAGAGCGAAGTTGCAGACGAATCCTGATAAAATTCTGCGCTATATATTTTATCATTCATCAATCATGCAGTGTCGTGCAAAAGAGTAGCCAAGGTAACTGAAGCCTAAGGTTAAAGTAGAATTGAGGTCCACCACTCTTAAGCTTACATCTTACATTCATTCAGTCATCTGAGAGAGCACATTGGAAGGAGAGATCAGAAAGGAAGAGTCGAGCAATTGATGCTGCAATGACCGTGGCGCACGCGCCTCCTGAGAGACCTAAGATGCTTGCTTCTCCTCCAGCATGTGAGCGTGAGCTCCTTGCAGCACCCCAGCTTTCTCCCCCATAGCAGCTTCATTATGGGGACTGAACTCAAGAAACTGACAATGCTAGATGGATTGGAGCAGCGAGAAACCGAGCTCCTGGCCGATGTAGCCTGTAGTGAGAGCATTGGTCAGCTCAATCACTTGCTCCAAGAACTTTCCAAGCCGCCTTTGAACGGCGTCCATTTGAACGACTCCGGCAATACAGAGCAGCTTGTGACCATTGCTGTGCTTGGGCCACCGTTGGAATCGATGCCGATCTGCTTGCAGGGTGCACAGCAGAGCAGGTGATTCCTGGTCTGCTGATATCTTTGAGAAGACCACTGAAACTGCCTTGTGCCTTCTGCCTTGTGCCTTCTGTAATCAACTGATGATGTACCACCTCCTGCAGCCATCAGTCCACCGATGATGTGTCTCCTGCTCGTGTCCAAAGCCAACTATGTCTATGCTGGTAGGAAGAGCTAAACCTGGATAGGGCTAAGTGGTCTTTCAGCGAGCCTCTACCATCGGCCATTTCATAGAGGAAGGACCTCAGGGTCTGTAGTCAAACCAAGGGCACCCTTGTTTGAGATGCTGAGGCGTCCGTTTGTGCTCAGTGATACTCAATCAAACCGCAATGACCGTCCAGGTTAATCTGTAAGGTTAGCAGGCCTGTCCGGGCTCCGCACCAATGCAGTCATGCCATTCACTTAGACAGCAAAAGCACACATCAAATCTATAGCATCTATCAAGTCTGGTCGGTTGGCGGTGCTAACTTCTCATCAACTGATGCAGAGGCAATATCCTCATGGTACTGGAGCCTTCTTGGCTGGAGAGGCGGCAAGTCAACCACAACGAGGAGGGGAATCCAGTTAACACCCAGCGTCTCTTCATCAGGAGAGCAGTCTCCTTCGATGGGGGTGGTGTTGCCCTTTTAGAGGACTTTGTGCCACCACGAAAGGTCACCTATTTGGCCAAATTATCACATGTTGACAGAGTAGGTCAGTGGTCGAATGCTCTATCTCAGGTTGGCAGCTTGAATCGTCACTAGGCTTCGATTCTCAATGTTTATTGCAACCGCAGAGGCACCATCTCCTCGCTTCCTGCTTGAATCGCTGCAGAAACAGTCCAATCTGATGTTTCATTACCTCTCTCGTCTCTAAAATGTGCAGAGTCAGACTGATTCGCAAGGACCTAGGATGATGCCACCTGAACAATGAAGAGCTTAAGAGAGATAAAACCTGCACTTTGCCCCAGCCTCATGTGCATAATCTTCTTCTCGCAGGTTTGGAAAATGCTTATGCCAGCCTTCTGGCCCCTGGGCTTGAGTGCGCGCTTGGCCCGTGCCATGCCCTCAATAAGCTCACCTCAAATACGCTACACTGGCATTCCTTGTTAACTCGAGACAGCGAGTTGGCGAATCCCCGGAGCATTACGTTCGCCACTGCACGATGCGCAGAGGCACAAAAGGTTGCTAGTGAGACGTCTGCCCAGGGCTGCCAGAGTGCTTCTTGCACACTGCCGCTTCTGGAACCCAAAGTGGATTTGAGCCCTATCAATGTTCAACAGTATGTCAGCCCCACCGCCCTTGAGATACTGCGAGCAATAATCTCAATTCGGGTCAATCTTTGACGTCAGTTACTTGGCGCCTCGGTTTTTATGGCCGATTTGGGCTAAGGAAGAGGCCCATATTGCTTGTGGAATCTCACAATTTGACGAATCCTTGCCTCAGGAGTTTACACTGCCTGTCCTGTCCCCGTCCACACCCACAGATGAATGCAACACGTTCGAAACATCACCTGCTGACAATTCTGTACTTTAGGTGCTGTTGCGTGCAAGAAACCAGTTTGAAACCAGCTTGCGACTGATTTCATCTTGTTTGTAACCACTGAGCTCAAATGAAACGGTTGCTTCCATGGTCGGTTATCCTCTCCAGCGTTTCGTTCCCAGCTCAAAAGCGTGACCTTCACCCTCGTCAGGTCGCGGCAAATGCGGAACAGTAGTCGCCGTAGATACAGAGCAAGAGGAGGACGCGCGCCTGATCGACAACATCCAAGCTTTCTGCAAACCGCCGAGCGGTGTGCTGGTGGTCAAGAGCAGCGACGGGGCCTCGAGCAGGTAATCCTGCACCGCTTCTCACTCCACCTTTGCAGAGCCCCACCTGCATGTGGGAAAACCCCGGACTCAGCCTATTACGGCTGTTCTTGCCGGATTGCAGGCTCTTCGATCGGCTCTTCGTTGCCAGACTGCGCTTTCTTCTAGCATCTTGAGTCGCACACGACAGCTCAGCAATGGACAAGCCTGGTCCCGGACGTCCGATTGCAGTCGTGCCTCGTTTTGGGACTCATCCGACGTCCGCGGCGTTGCCACGCATGTGCTAGGGCTGCTACGTGCCTCCGGAGACGAGGCTTTCGTGGTGGAGGAGTTTGTGTCGAGCATTCAGCCGGTCATTCCGCAACCTAACCAGGTGGGTCAGAAAAGGGGTTGACCGCACATGGTGGCTCCTTTTGATAGAGAACGTCAGCCGATGTCGAACCCAGCCCGGCCATGTTCGCAGCATTTCGTCGTGCTTGCAAAGAGTTCGATGGTCGGTTTCGACTCGAATCCCAGTCGGCCAATTAGAGACGCTGCCCGATATGAATCGTCGACGCCCCAGTTGGCCGATGAGAGGCGCTACAGCCATACGGAATAGTCCTCAGGCGCTGGCTGTCTCAGTGACAAAGCAGATTGACACTGAAAGGACTCATGTGCTCTCAGACAAAGCCCAACACGCCTAAAGCTTTGGGGGTGCCCCAGGTGCTGAGAAACTTCACCTTCCACTCGAGACAATCATTGCTCATCATTTTTGCCGTCTTGAATCAGCGTTCAGCTCATTGAGAAGGAAGGGGTGCAGTGGGCGAAACGCCGGAAACCGAGAATTCTCCATCCTCGTTACACGATATGTCTGGTGCAGATGCCGACGCCGGACTCCGCCTGGCTGGACGCCGCTTCGCGGGCCGGACTGTCTGAAGCTGTGGCGGCACTCCGAGCGGACCGGTTGGACGGCTGCTCTCCGTCGGGCCAGGTTGCGGAGGAGCGGTAGGAGCGACGTAGAGAATGCACGTGGTAAGGGTCAGGCGCGGCTTTGTAATCACGGCTTTTGTTTTTGTTCCTACCCCTGTAGCAAATGTCAAGACGCAAGAGCCTTGATCCGGCCGTTCTCGTGGCTGGTTGAATCAGAGGGCCGCCGGATCCCAGACAGGCATAGGTGTCTAAGCTGAGTGAAAAGTTTCCTTCTTGGTATCCCAACGCAACCCCTGCGAACGAAATCGGGGTTGCACCACATGAAGAGCTTAACGGAGATTCCTTTAGACAGAAAAGCTCCGCCAGAACATTATCGATCGGACCTCAGACTCCCGGTTCGGGGTACTGCTTCTTCCGACCTAGCTGCAACGTTCCTTGAGAAAGATGCTCAAGGGTTGGAAAAGGGTTCAGAGGAGTCACTTTAAGAAGCCAAAACTCGGCAAAATTGTTCAAGAACTGGCCGCCCGGCAGGGATTTGGCAGCGGGCACCGCGCGTCCTCGCGGCCGCCTTGTCCGGGGCTGAACGGAGAAAATTCGAGTTGGATTCTAAGCTCTTCACTGGGGGGGCATCGCTCGAGAAGTGGACTTCTCTTAGAAGACTTTCTAGTGTAACCTGAAAAGTTGCTAGTCAGGCCCGGCTTGTCTCTTCAACTGGTGTTGCACCCGACGCATGCTTAGCAGTCCGCTCGATCCAAGCTTGGCCCAAGCTATTATGGAAACAAACTGCACTCGGTTGGATCATATGGCCCCCCTCCAGGCTGGCCAGCGTTTGGTCGGTCAGTGGCACAGCTCCTTCCCCCAAGTCTCCCGTCGTTTTGTTGCTTTTGAAAGGCCGTAGTTTGTCTAGGCCGGCCTGTCCGATGACGTGTCTCGTTTTCCTAGAGCTCCCCGTCGAGCGGCTCGGCTTCAAAGTGCGCGCGCTGGTGGCACGTGCCCCCTGGGGCGAGCCGGAAATCGTCGCGTTACTCGCCGTGAGCGGGAGCCTCGCCCGTCCGATCCGGTTCCGAGGCAGCAGCGCCGTCGATCTCGATGCCGTGCTCCAGGCCTGGGGAGCATCCGACGCGGCCAGGGAAGACATCCGCACTGCGGTCTCCAGCACTGCCGAGAGACTCGCGCGGGTGAGGCGCTGGTGCTCGCGCGCACGTTCTGAGTTTTGGGCTCACTGCAGTAACTGAGAAGGTCGGCTGCTCTGCCGAGACTTCGTGTCTCTTCCATGGAGCCTCGGAACCTGCGCCGTCGTTCGGACCGCTGCGCTGTCGTTTGGACGCCTGCAAACTGTGGTGTGGACCTCTGCCCTGTTGAATTGGACTCTGCACTCTTATTCTGGACCTCCGGACTGTCTCATAGACCTCTGCGCTGTCTTTCCTGCTCGCATCCTGCGGTCATTCTGACATCGGCCATGCTCCATTGTGCAGTTGATCCTGGACTCCGAGACGTCGCTGAAGGACGTCCAAAAGGGAGGCGCTGGCTGCCAGACGGACTTCCTCGGCGTCGACATGCTCGTCGCCCCTGCGGCGGCCGCCCACCAGGCCGTCCGTGTATTTGTTATCAAGGTGCGTGTCCCACTTTCTTCAAGCTGGTCCCATACTACTTGCAACAGGGGTAGACGACACTGTTTCAAAGGAGTCGAATCCGGACAGCCGCAATACAGCAATAACGGCCATCTAAACACCTCGACTCGGAAAGTCGGATCGGAAAGGTCTGACCGACGAACCAGAACGTCAAGAAGTTTCGATTGCGATGTTACGCAGGCGGGTACTGGCGTTTGCGCTCCGTCAAGATACTTACCAGTTCCACCATACTCAGAAAGAGAGTGACCCAGAATCTGGCTGAGGGGTTTGCCCGGGTTCGCAGTTTGGTAATTGCCGGATGAGGTCTTCTACCAGTACTCAGCACTTCGTGCGGAGCTCAGCTTAGATTTGAGTGACCCCGTTTGGGAGGAGGGTCGCCGTGATCAGCTGCGAGGTCGAGTTGGTGGGAAAGTTACATGTATGTATCGCTTTTATGCAGAAAGGATGCTCGTAGGCCGTTTATCAGACTCGGAAGCTCGTGTGGCAATTAGACCGCGCCTGAAAGGAATAAAACGGGGTGTATTTTTGTGCTTGTCTCTTGTCGCCTGGCCTTGATGAGACCCTAACTCTTGTAATGCGATCCATCTATCAATAACGACTTCACTTGTGAGATTTAGATCTGCACAAGATGCGAAGCTGGCCGGAGGCGAGACTTTGCTGATTGATACAGCTGCTCTGAATCTCTCTAGATTTTACAGTTCGTCATGCTCTTAACAGGTCCTGCCGGACTGGAGATGCTGCCGGAACCTGCTGACACCATCCGTGTCACTCTCCAAGAGCGCCAGTCTTTGGGTTGCCAACATGGTGTCAAGGTCTCAGGATTGCCTCTTGAGAGGAAAGAGGATTCTCATCTTGGGAGCAGGTAAAATGACCTTCGCACCTCAACACGGCAGACCTTCCCGAAATCAGTTGCAAAACGGGTCTCATCGGGTTCCGACCTGCTTCAAGGTCGTTGTTGACGGTGGGGTCTGAGCAGGGAACCGCAGCTTCCCCTTTCAATACCCTCGTAAAGCTGACGTAGTCGATTGGATGTCTTAGACGAATCTTTGATACGCGCCTTCACATCGTAGTAACTTGGGGTGTTTGCTTGCCTTCCCTCTTCCATCCGAAATGCAACTTTCATTTGCCTTCTCTCTCTTCTGTCCTTAGATCCGTCTTCTCTCCTACATCCAGAGCGCGTTGTTGTTTGCCTTCTTTCTTACAGTCGGAAGGCGTTCCTATTTGCCAATTACCTTGTCATAAATTTTTCGTTTCCCCTCCCCCAGGTGGCTACACAAAGCGTTTCATCTGGGAGCACACGCGCAAACTAGGTTTGCGGGTCGTCCTCGCCCACGAAGACGCAAGTCACTTTGCGCGCGAGCTGGTGGAGACGTTCATCGTCGTCCCTGGCATGGAGTTCCATTCCCCCGAGCTCGACCGGCAGCATGCCGCCAGAATCGTGGAGGCCCTCGAGGTGAGCATCGCGTATGCGCCGGCGCTTCATAAGCCTACGATTGGCTGGACTGCTTTGTTCCCTGGGAAACAGTCCACTCTCGTTTGTTTCTCTCGTAGGTCCAACGGGTAGTGATAACTAGCGATCCTAGATGGTTGGACGAGACGGTTTGCCCGTAATTGTGGTGGCAATCCCTTTGCGGTGTCAGCTAGGCTTGATAAGAAGGCAATATTAGTGATTCACACAGAAAGGCGGCGAGCAGCCTTTGCTTCACCGCAAGACCAGGGTTCTTTATGGCCCTGGTTGACATGAAAAGAGTGGGTTCCCGGGTTTCGGTTTTCTTAACAAAATCGCGACCGCACAACGGTCGGCTCCTAAGGTCGCACTGTTATAGGCGACCTCAGGGCTTCGATGCGCTCATGAAGCCGCCGAAGTGGTTAAGATAGTAAAAAGCCGGAAACCCAGATGCCAGTACGAGACCAGGGACATCCAGGATCAGCGTCCTCAGTCTCCATGTAGTACAAGGGAACACCTGATCGGGGCGTTTGATTGATGCCAATCTCTGAGAAGTTGCGAGTCGTGCCCTCTCGTCGTGTAGTGCTTTTCCCCAGGTAGTGATCGTCCAGATTGAGCAGTGTAACGTCCAGATTGGTGCGCCCCCCTGCAGTTGCTGCACACGTGCAACCCGCGCCTCGAGTGCTCTTCAGGCGGATCGCAGAAGTTCACGACTGTTGGCCAGAATCGTGTCGCAGCCACCCCATCTTCAATATAACAACTCCAGTGTGCAAGACTCAGCCATTGGCAGCCCGATTGCAGTAGGAAACGTTCTCGCACCGGGTCTGGCCACACCGGACAATACTTTTCTCAACGATAGATCTGGAGCGTCTATCTTTCAGACTAGACGTTAGCGACACGATTTCCTGCTGTTCCCCAGCGAGTCCAAGCCCCTACACTCCGCCTGTCTTCTGCAGGAAAGGCGGCTCACAGTCGACGGCTGCTTGACGGTTTGGGAGGAGCACGGGCCTCTGGCCGGCCTGGTCAACAACCTCCTTGGGACACGTGGCAACTCGTACGAGGCCCAAGCCCTGGCCAAGTCGAAGTTTCGGACGCTGGAAGCCCTGATGCGCGCGACCGGGGAGCGTCCGTACGGACCGCCGACGAGTGCGTTCGCGTCCAAGGTGCAAGGCTCAAGCTGCTTGCTTCCAAGGGTTCCGTTGGGGCTCCGGTGGTCGGAACGAATGGAGATCCAGCTGGAGTGGCTAAAGAATCAGGAGCTCAAGAGCCGGTGTGAAATGTCTGCGTCACCGAGTCACCTTTGAACCCCGGGCCGGATTTCTGTGGATCACGTCCGGTCCAGCCCCCAGGTCTACGCCATTTGAGGTCACAGGAATGTTTGAAGCCAGCAAAACCATTCAAGACAGCGGGTTGTTGGAGCCAGCTGAGTGTTTCAATGTGGCATAATATTCGAAGCCAGCGGAGTACGACTGACACTAGCAAAGTAGGACTTTGCCCGCTTCGAACGGCGACCCGGTTCGGCCCTTTGCCTTGCAAGGGCACTCGATGCCAGTGCTTGTGTCAGAATCGCACTATTTTAGCACACATAGAACCCAACGAGTTGCGCGCTCGCTTCGAGGATTTGCTTGGGTGCCTGCACGCAGTCCTCCCTCTCGACTCTTGACGCGAGGCAGGTCCATACAATCTGCATAGAGTGTTCCCTATTTTAGGCGGACCGCAGAAGAATGCGATGGCCGAAAACGCAGCGCAACCGTCCGATTTCGTGACATAAGGACTCCGGTCTGCAAGGTTTAGTCAGGGAGTCGTCAACTTTGACAGAACTAATTCCGATACTATGGGTCAGACAAACCGTGTCTGACCAAGCACAAACGAAAGATCTGGAGCGTTCATTTTTCAACGTCAACATCTGGACGGCAGCGCTGCAATTCTTGGTCGTCCCCCAGCCATTTTCTCGTTTTTGCGGTCCGCCTGATTTTCACCGTCTGCACGGTTTTTGCTCGGGGCAGATCTACCGGCTACCGGACGAAGCGGCTCTGGTCCGCGCCTGGGAGGACCTGGAAGGGCGACCCGCGATGCTGAAGCCCGAGCATGGGTCCGCCTCCACCGGGGTGTACCTAGCCAAGACCTTGGAGGAGGCGCGGGCGAAGTACAAGGAGATTCCCCTTTCATTAACGGGCTCGCCAATAGGTCGAGCCTTTGGGTAAGTGGCGAGAACCTTCCGATGGCCACGTGTGCAAGAATTGCTGCTGACGATTCTATGGGAGTCGTGCGGGACGGGCCTTGCATGATGGCTCTACGACGACGATCTCTTACGGGTCGAATAGTGGTAACTCCCTTGTCGATCGCCGTTTGTGGGAACCAGTTTTGCAAGTTCTGCTCCCAGTAAACACTATCTAGACTATCCCATATGTGTTTTGATAAGATCCATAATCCTGTTATTGTTAACCCGATCCGTAAACCCAACGAAAACGCCCTACACAACCGTACCACCCGAAATCCGAGCAAATCCTACCCGTTCACCGGGTGCACAGGGAGCCTTGGATTCATACATTGGGCCGAATCGGAGCAATTCGCTCCGGAAAAAATGGCAAATAAACTGGAGGTATGCCCCAGTTCAAGGCCGGTTCATGCAGAAAAGAAACCGTTACAGAAGAAATGGCTCCGATTTGTGAGAACCGGTTCCTATCCTTCAGAAAGCAGCCATGAACCGGGGCATCGTTCCGGTTCATCCGCCACTATTCCGGAGCGAGATACTCCGCTTAGGCCCCGGTCTGGATCCTCTTTGAAACCAACGCGCCCTTTGGTTTCGAACTTCACACGAAAGAGGCTCTAGATGAGTCAAGAAAGGTGCCTGAGTCAATCTTGAAGCGGACCAACAGTCGATGCAACAGTGTAATTCCAACCGTGTCAGCCCTTCTGAGCAGCTTTGCGATCCGCTTCTTCCCAGGTACACCGCCAGCTGTACAAAACGGCTCTTGGCACTTTGGGACCGATTTCAGTCGTATCTGACACAGTTGCCGCCGTGACCATTCCCTTGCAGAAGCGTCCGCCTCGTTATTTGCAGGTGTGACCTACTGCTGATGGAGTACATCGAGGGGCCCTCCCATGAGGTTGGCATCATCATGTTCGATGGCCAGCTGGTCGCCGCCCTCTTATACGACGTCGGGCCTTGCCGGAAGCCTTACTTCAACGAGACATCCGCAGCCTGCCCGAGCGGATTGCAGGAGTGAGCCTCGGGCTGCCTTCAAGCGTTGAGCCGCTTTTGTCCACCTGCGTGGTTCGGATGTTGCCGGAAGAAGCACGGAGGTCTTGGAAAATGTGTAGACAAGCCTTCTCACACTGCGCTCACATGGTCGATTCGCCGGAAGGAAATGTTGCTTTGCTTGAGAAGCTACGGTCCTTGGAAAAGGGCTTTCGTGGGCTTTCGTGTGCGTTTCGCAAACGACCAGAGCTCCCGCGCGTTTGCAGCCCATGCCCCCCCTCCTCTTACAGCGGTGCTCGGGAGCGACTCCTTGTGCCTGTGAACCGTGTGAGTAGTCTGGATTATACGTTGAGTAGCGGCTATTTGAGTTACGTCATGCCCGGGGGGGGGGTGGGTTTGGTTTTGGGGTTTAGAGTCGGTACGGATGGAGAGCATGTTAAGTCTGGCTTTAGATTTTTATTTTGTTTGCGCCCGCGGTACTGATCTAACTCAACATAGACCTAACTCAAGATAAAACTGAGACAAATTTAACCGTGCTCACCGTTCCTCCCCTTCCGCAGTGGCGTTCAGGAGTCGCTCCGCCAGGCTGCCGCCCGGATTTGTCGGGCTCTCGGCTTGAACCACGGTGTCTTCAGCGTGGAGCTGAAATCCACTCGAACGGGGTTGAAGCTGATCGAGGTTAACGGGAGGCAAGGGGGCTATTACATCCAGGTGAGGGCAAGCCACCTTGCTCGCCAAGTGTGGGTGATAACGCTGGTTCAGAAATTACAAGAGCCAGGAATAATAAGCTCCTAATCAGCACTTCAAACCTAACCCAACAATTCACCTGCTCCACACCCATATTCACCTAACCCCCAAGCTAAAAATACCCGTCCCAGGCTGGCAGGCTTTTATTTTTGCCCCTTATTATTCTGATTTTGACCTTCATGCGCACGTGGGCGGCGGACTCTGGTTGAGGGTGCGTGGGCGTTTTCGAGATGGCACCCATCGCCGCGTTTGCCGTCGCTTTCAAAGCAGCGCAACATGCTCGCACGCAGCATGGCTGTGAATGCTGGACATTGTAGCAACATTTCGTTTCGTTGAGATACTGATTTCCCGAGCACCTTTAGCCCACCCTTAAACCTGATAAGGACGTTAACCGCAGTCCTCTTCACTGTAGTCCCCCCCAATGTAACCCCACCCGTTCCCTCGAGGTTTATCCCGATACAAAACGTCGTTGATGAACCTCGGACTTGCCAAAGTGATTGTTGTTGCCGCGCTGCGGGTCTTTAGCCCAACTATCCTCGGCTGAAGTCGCTCTGTGCTTTCTGTGCGGGGGCGGGCCAAACGACTCTCGGCTCCGACGAACCACGTGAATCATAAGTCTTATGCTCTGGCACGTAGGTTGTGAACGCGATTCTAAATCCCAGACTGCCGCTGCTCGCCCGGCAAAAAGAAGTAAGGTAAAAGGAAGCGCATTCGGCCCGTGAATGCGCTTCCAAAGTAAGAATTTTTCCGCACCCGGCAAACCCCTAGCATCGATCTCGAAACAAGATGATTAGATCCTACTCGATTGCAGGATTGGATGCGGCGCGTCTACGGGGTTGACCTGTTGAAAGCGAACATGCTGACGGCGTTTGGCATCAGGCCGCACATTCACACTCTCCCGCAGCCGCGTACACACCTAGTGGGCAGAATGATCTATTCAGGGCTACACGGAGTAAGCCCCGCCATTCCAGCACTCCTTTTTTTCTTCTCCTTCGAATGCCGTTTGAGTGTGCCTCCAAAAAGTTTGCAGAACAAGGGAAGAAACTCCTCGTACGACCAGTCTTTTCACCGCGCTCACTTGTCCGACCTTCTTTCAAAGAAAGACCAGGGAAAGACCACAAAACCACAAAACAGCGTCTCTCAATACGCGAAGTCTTATCAATCGTGTTTTTCTGTACCCATTTGAGATTCGCATGCGTGGGGATTTAGACAGCCCGTCTTATCGTCTTTGTTAGGCGGTTGACGTTTCAATCGGGGACATTCTGATCGCCAATCGGAACCGGTCACTTCGAGTTGAAAACGGCCGCCTGACCCCCGAACCGATATGGGGCCTGCGATCTTGCAAGTCCGTGATCCGAGCTTTGTGCGAAGGCCTCTCCCGCCGCTTTTCACCCCCGCTTGCAACAGTATCTGTTGATCTTGTTTGTGCGCAGGCCGCGTTTGGAAATGGCAGCTGCTCTGTAGAGCTATTGACGCGGCTGCATCGAGAAGGTGTTGCCGATCTGTTCCAACAAGACCCCGACCTAGTCCCGTCCGAGGAGTTCGAAGAGCCGTTTGCAAACATTGCGGTTCCGGGGGCGACAAGGGCGGCCGCAAAAGCCCACATGGAGGCGCTCTGGAGGATGCTCGGCTTTGAGGCACTCGACTCAAAACCGTGCCCTTACTATCTATCATTATTCTAAGCCTATGCAATGGATGGTGGAGACGATTCGTTGCGGAGTCATAAGCACTGTGCTACTCGTGCTCTCTTATTGCCTCGAGAAGCGGAGGCTTCTAAGCTATAGCTGTATGTTCAACGTTGACAATCTTTGATCTGCATTCGTGGCAATCGATTGACGAGTAGGGTGTTTGCTAAGAAATTGCGTGTCTGAACTGCAGATGAATGCGGATATAGGCTCAGGTGGAAACGGAACATGAATCCCCTTGAACTTTCGAGACAGCCAATGTATAGTATGAGTCTACTCGCTCCTGAATCAGTTGATGTTGCAGGGGCACGTTGATACTGTAAGGCATATACTGTCACGCTACGTTCCGGCATGTCGCTGGGTCACTGTGTTGCACGATGATGCAATTACTATACCAAATAATGCATGGCCCCAGATACCCTCCTCCAGACTATTGTCAGCTGGACAATCGCATCTGTTGTGCCTATTGCATTTATGAGTCAACTAGAACCAACTAGCTAATAAGCGCCCTGATGCATCGGCGCTTCAGGCTGGCATATCAGCACGCGCGTTAAAAATCGATTAATCATGCATGTTAAATGCTCATTAGGTGGATGCAAGACCGGTCGATCGACGGTCTTTTCAATGAAAATGGCCTCCCTAACCGGGAGGCCTTTTCGGGGTGAAGACGGGGTTTAAAGTTGTTCGGGGTGTCGGGGTTCCGGTTTAGTTTTTGGTTTGGGCATGATGGACTTGCCGAGGTTTGTACACGGTGGATGGGCACGGTATACGCCTACCGGGCGAGTCGGCTAAGGTGGCTTGGAGCTTAGGCCGACCCGCCGGGTACAATGAGATCATCGCCCGGGGAACCTTTTAAGTGTTTACGTTTAGGGTGGATAGAATTGGGGTTGGACTTGACGAGTCAACCCAGTCAAGGCCACGTGGTAAAAACGGTAAGGGTTTAGCCAATAGGATCGCGAATAAAAAGCCTTACCGCGAAAACGTCATGTCAATAAGGGAGGCAATAATGTCCGAAGTTCATGCAGCCGTTAAGTTCGGGCCCCTTGACACAACCCGCCTTTTGTCCGGCAGCCGGCTAGATGTGTCAAAATCAAAGTTCGGGAACGCGGCCGCCGACGCCCTCACTCAAATATTTTCTGGAAACGTCGCCGACGAAGTTTAGGGCTCGCATTTGCGGTTGGCAGAGCGCAACAAATGCTAACCCCATCGGACGGTTCAAAGGCTTGAAGTTGAGGGCTGCCCCCATCGATCGACGGTTCAGAATTTTTGTTGAAGGGCCCGTGAGCGTGCGTACTGATTGAGAAATTTGACGTGCACGTAATCACCAATCATGTAAGTGGTACAAGTATACTCAAAAGATGATCGAGGGCTCCTTCGATCCGTGCACGAAGATTATGCGCCGCAAGACAGTGACCGCCCTGGGGCTTGAATCACTCTGCACTACGAGATCTACATTTGGCATCTCGCCCAAAATTGTAAATTTTCATCCGGCTAGGACAATTTTAAGTGTCTTCAAAGCTACGATGTCGGTCCCGTTAACGCCACCAAATCTGCATTTCCTTAGTACTTTGAAGCCAAACGCAATGCCGTCCAGTCACCGTAACACTGCCCAACCTTCGTGTCAGTCTTAACCTAGTCTTAACCTGTTCCTCCCTACTCACATCCAACGAGAGCCCAAATACTCCACCTAGTTGGCGCTCCTGACCCCGTGCTTTATCTGACTCTCAATCGCGTGAGGGGGCCAATTTGTCCCGTAGAACTCTATCAACTTGGGATTCAGGTGATCCCTCCACGTCACGTGCCCGCGGCAAACCATGGCGCCGCAGCCGCACTGGGTGTCCTTGAACTCCTTGACGGACGTTTCGGAGATCATGTACTGTCCGTAATCGATGGTGATCTCCTCGTCCGGCTGGATGTCACGGCGCACCACCATGTCGAAGGAACCGTTGTGGAAGCTGCAACAGAGAACAAGGTGGTAAGTACTTGTTCTCCGAAAGCTTGACCGAATGGAAGCACCACCTCCTTAGGTTGTTGGGGTCCGGTTGTAGACATCCGTCGGCCTCTTTAAGTAGGTTGCATCCTCCAGTGCTCTACATGACTCCCTCCTTGACCCCTTCCAAAAGTGAGCACTGATTCGTGAATAGCATTCTACATTCTCCGCGGTACAGACACGCCGAGTATACAGATTTGTGCGTGCAATCTTTGCCTCGAGTCTATTCAAACTGCTTGCTCGTCATTGCGTGAGAACTCTCTCAGAATGACATGCGAACAAGGCAACTCGCGAAGCATCAACCCAAAGTTTCATTCGTTAGCAGAACCGACCTTGTCACCGTTCTTCAGTTTCCTAAGCACAGCCGTAACATGCTGAAAGAACCCAAATTTGCAGACGTCTCAAGGTTCGAGTTTGGCCTGCGCATCAGATTTTGATTGCTCGAGGTCACTCACAGGACGTTCGGGTCGCAGCTATGGTTGACGAAAGCGCCGAAGTCCTCTGGCTGGCCCTGCTCGTCCAAACGGGGCGACAAAATCTCGGTCGCGCTGATCTGTAGACCGCAGACACAACACGTGAGCATAGTAAAATTGCCGCGAAAATGTTTAGAGCTTATTGTGGGCTTGTTAATCCAAATGGTACGTCTTCGTGCCTTACTTCCATGAACGATCCTGTTTCGCGAACTCTAAATTCGCATCGTGTCGCGGAGCCGGGGAGAAAAGAAAATCCCAACCATAACGGCCGAAAACGGTAGGTTTGTGAGCGAGGACCTCAAAGCAATTATCGTAATGGGGAAATTGTCGTCAACGAAGAAAGAGGATGGTGCGTTCTGCGCAAAATTGGAATTGACCCTGGTCAGAAGCGAAGAAGTCCATATGTACGAAGCAGTCGCTCGTGCAGCATCGCGGTCAAGGTCTGGCTTGCGGAAAATGGTGCCTCAATCTTCCTTTATCGCTTGAAGAAGCAGACACCCTTGCTTGACAACTTTCAAGAAGCCAAGGCTGGCGACTTCGCATTGCTCTGCCACCACAGAAACAAGATACGACGCAGTCTACAAGATGCCCTTCTGTCATGCTTGCATTAGCGCAATTTTCAACGCCTAAATTTGTACGGAAAAGAGATTCACCTCTTGCGCGTGTCAGAACGGCGCTAGTGCAGGGAACGCCCCCTCAAGGAAGCGACCTCTATTCTGATCGAATCGTCGATTGCGGGAGTCAACACTCTGACTCAAGAAAATCCGCCAGAAGGCCCAACGCCAGTGCAACAAACGCCAAAACATAAAAGCCATAAGATAGCGTTGATGTGATTGATTGTATCCACCCACCTGCGCACACCAATGCAGGAAGAGCATCTGCTTGTCAAGGGGCCACGTGTTGAGCGTAGGGATGTCCACGACTTCCCCCATGCCGTCCGCCATGAACTCCCCGTTGAAGTACTTCTCGCCCTGCTTGATCAAGCGCGTCGCAAACAGGCCCTTCCCGCCCTTGTACTGCGGCTTGTCGCGCACCTCCGCGGCCGGGTGGATCCACTGGTACCGCGGGTCGCGCTGCTTGTTCTGCGAAAATACGGTGACATCGAGGTTACAATACATAATTTTCTTGTTCAGCTTTTGCCTTCTTTCTCGCGCCAAGTCACTTGCTTTGCGCAAGCGGGCAATGGACCAAGCGCGATCACACCTTCTGTACTGCTAGCTGTATCGCATTATAGCGCTTCGAATCCAGAATTTTCCTGTGACAAAGAGGTTTGTTTTCAAGCTACTGCAGATTCAGCATGCGTCTTTGACCGGAAAAAGTAGAAGACTGAGGACAAGCGGGGTCCTCGAGAGGGATGAAGACAGAGTGTCTCAGCAGAACATGCACCTGTGCCACTCAGGTCAGCATCAGCCCCTGGAATGTGAGCGTAGAGATAAGTCGACAACCGATTGGGACACCCCGCTCAGCACCCCCCTGAAATGCGTCTCATCTTCACCTCCTCAGTCCGTCAGCTAACAAAATGGAAGGCTTTCTGTGCAGCCGGACTTGGCGGTCGGCGCGCTGCTTCTCACCTCTTCCCAGTAGGAAGGCAGGCCCATCTTCTTGAGCTGCTCGGCATAATCGTCTGGGATCACCGGCATTTTGAACTGCACACAGCATAAGCGAGAAACGAGTCAGATGTCAGCTGCCCATCAGGGGGCAGCTCCCAACAAAGAACACGAATGATACTAAATAGTCTTAGAGCCCATGAACAGGTGGCCGACCTTTAGATATAAAGCAGCCTTTCACCAGATTCGCTGTCGCAGAAGACGCCTGCTGATTGAATACTGAGTCAGGCTAGTTCAATAACAGGGAGCGGGGGAGGCACCTAGCGAAGGCTTATGTTGTGCATTTTTAGAGGAGGCGAAATGCTTGAGTGGGTCTCACCAAGCGTCTGACAATGCGAAATCAGAAGCTATCTCGAGACCCTTCTTCTCTTGTGGGCTTCGACGTTCGAAAGAGGTTACAAGCCCGAAATTATGTTTTTCTACGATGGCAACACCTTAGCTACCTGTGCTTTTCACCAGCTCCAAGTTCTTCATGTTTTCGTTCACTCACCGAGGCAGTTTCTGCGGAAGCCATGCTTGCTGTTATAGTTCGTTTCAGCTCTGGACGTACACGTGTCTTTCTCGGCAAGGAAGTGACCTGAGCCTGATTGGCTTGCCGTTTGTGGATGCCTTGGAGAAGAGGACTAGTTGGAAAGCACACAGGCCTGCAGAGCACAAACAAACAGCTCAGAAGACGGAGACAACGGGGTTCCTAAGATGACAGGAGCTTGCAAGCCATTTCAATTCGTGAAGAGAAGTTGTAGCGAGATATACAATCACTCGTTGTCATTCTCCTTCGAGGTAAGTCTTTTACGACTGGTATGGAAAGCAGGGCAAAGGGCTTGAACTAAGCAGATGTCAATTCCTTCTCCTGGACAACCTTCTGCATGTACATATTTAGCATTTTTCCTCCCTGTGAACACTTCGTTTGGCCCCTTCTCTACCAAGATATGTTATCAGTCTGTTTCTACTATATTGCCAATACCTTCAAAATTGTCCCTTTTAGCCAGATCTCTGAAACATGGTTCTGGAAAAAGGCTTTCAAAATTCTTGGAAACACGACTGGCTGAGGCATGCAATTCCATAAGGAAGGCTGCATAACAAAGTCATCATGTAGAGTCTGCTTCACTCAGACCCAGGTCATTGTTAGCTGAAAACCGATTGCAAACAACGACTCAGGCTTCACATAGCATCGAAATTACCAACTGGACCATGTTAATGTACGGATTCAGACCTTCCGTATTGACAGAAATTCTCAAAAACAAGGGAGCAGAGCGGGATCCAGAAGGTAGCTCAAATGAAACAAAGGAGCCGCCCGCCTACCACCACCAAGAAGAAAGTTTTGCTCATACGTTGTGCTTGCCATCATGCTCCCCTAACGCTACCACCCAAAACTTCCACTCTGAGCTCAGATGATGGACGTTAAAACCAATGGGTTGCTGTGCCGGGTCAGAGGTTCTAACATCCGCTCAGCTCTAGAAACATATGAACTAGATAGAGCTGCTTTGAAACTCACAGCCTGGGGCACCATTGTAAGGCGTGTGCCATTACTTGCGTGTATAGCGCCCTTTATACTGCCACCACAATCAAAAAGTGCTTTTCAGAACCAAGTCACGGATGGGCCAAGTGCTACAGGCGCTCGAAGACTATGCATAAAAGAACATGAGTGCCTTTGTGGTTCGGCCGACACACACCGAACTTCAAATGTAAGTTTCCGCCAAACTGATACGAGGTGGCTCTGCGCGCCAATCGTCAGAGTCAAGCACGCTGACGTACTCCAACGCAGACGCATCCACCTACGACCGGATGAGTGAGTGCATAGTCTCGCGCTGAGTGATTAGGAGTGAAGAGGTCAACCAACAAAGAGACCTGCCAATGCTGATTTAAAAGGTAAGAGATCGGAGCTCACTTGAACCTGTTGAGGTGCTTTGTTGGTGGTGGTGGCCGATCTAGCAGCTGAAAGGCGCTTCTGAATGTGGACCTGGCATTGTAAGCATGGCATTCATTTAGCTGCTAAGAGAAAGTGCTGAAGGTGGCGGATCAGTCACTCAGTGCTGGACTTTCATACCATGTATGTCGAGGAAACTCTGGCGGCCTTACTGAGAAGAATGTATGCAATCAGATTGTTGAAAGGCTAGACTGATTCCTGATCCTTCAAAATAAGGAATGGCATTGTTATCCATTTCGGGGGTGCAGACCACCCAGACCCTTAGTCAAGAAGAAGTTTGGATTACATTGTCAACTGAACAGGAGCTGACCATAGAACGGGACTGGCATCCCAAGATTGCCTGAGATGTGCATCAAAGAAGCTTTTGCATTGTAGGACCGACAGGGAATGCTGTAAAGAGAACTTCTAAACGACCCTGTACGAGCAGCTCACTGTAGGCACCAAGATGCCTTACCTGCAAGAAGCGGCCAGCGAGCTTCGTGCCTCTCGGGTGTCTCTGTCAATGCCACGCAAAGGCTGCTTCACAATTTGCTTCCCAGTGCTGAGGCTTCAGGTGATTGAAATGCTACTGCTCCTGCAACTTCAAGGTGAAGTGCAAATTCTGCCAGTGCTGAATAGGAACGCTTCAATGCTTCGTTTTGTTGAACGCCCCTTGCATGACAAAGAAAGTTCACTGTTCAGGCCCTTCTTTCTCGGCCAGATTCTGGAATCTGCATTGTCGTCGAGCTTGTCTGCCGGATGTGACGATCAAGGGGCCGTTCAGTACCCGGTTCCACTTTCTTCCGACAAGCTCCCAACCGGTCAGCGCTCAGCAGCACTCCGGTCGACAGCGCGCGCGCGGTCACACGTTGTAGGAGTGGGGGCTACCAGCCTACCGGTAATTGGCTTGCCTTTCTAGGCAACCCGAAGGATTCGTACACGGATTTGCTCGATTTCGCCGTATGCGGGGCGGCGCGCCCCGGGCGATTTCGGCCGGTTCGACGTCGAAATCCTAGATTCTGCTCCCCGAAATAGGCAAATAGGGCGCAAATGGTTTGCAGTCTGGGCCTCGGGAGCAAAGCGGCGTAGCAGGTGGATTATCGAAGTTTTCCGTTTCGATAGTTGCTGTGCCAAACCGTAAGGAAAGGAAATAGCCCAATTGTCCATGACACTGGGCACCGACGTGGGAACGTTCGATAAGGTGCAACACTCGGTGCTCCGCAAAATTCGGCTAGGCTCCGCGCTTTACGGTTCGTGACCCTGGGTTAGCGCCAAGAACTCTTTTTCGGCACAAAAAGACATGCAAGTCCCCTACTCCCAAGTGTTAGTAGTTACGCGATCGCTCACCCGGTCGGTATCGGATACAAAACCGGCGACCGACTCAGGCAAGCCACGGTCCCCCGCAGGGGGACAGATCGGTTCACCGCTTGTTCCCGCCGCTCCCGGGATGATTCTTGTTTCAACCGGGCTGGTGGGCAATGAGCATGTACGTACCCCCGGCAGTCCATTCCGCCCAACGTTACGTTTCATTTATGACGAGTACTGGTTGTTTGAAGTGGATTATAGCTTATGAACAGGCATTGTCAGGGCCACCATAATGGCCCCATCATTCATGCGAGGCATTGCATATGGCCAGTTGTCTTCGAGGAGAGTTCTGCTTTGTGCTCTGACGACCTGACTCTGCCCTCGAAAGGATTTATTATGCACAGCTAGAGCGCGAACCTGTAGCAAACGCCTCATGGGCAACTAGCATCTCAAAGAAAGACAAGGGAAGAAGTGACCAGCTGATGGGCGCGCAGATCTAATTTCTCAGCTCAGTCTGCCAGCACCCTGACAGAACATTTCCCTCTGGGCGTCACTTCAAACCCTCCTCTTGGTTGGTCACAATACTCCCGCACCTGGGAAAGCAGGTTCGCCAAAATTGCGAGGTCAGTTAATGCATACCTCATCTCCACTTTATCATGGCATAGTGCAATGTGGTTGTTGCACCTTCGGTGAACTTTGTGATTCTTTGAAATAATCCCAATCTGAGATTGTTTCCGTTTGCATTTGACCGCTGATCGCCAAGTCTTCTGTGCCAGCTGATCAGGCGGCTATGGATTTTCCGACATTGAGAGACTGATTTTTTGGTTTTCTTCCATTCATCCTTCCGCCTCAAGTGGGGAACTCTGCTGTAAGAAGTTGGAGATGTTTGCTGGCTCCTTTTCAGACAGACTTCATTTTTCACAAAATCGCTGCAAATTGCTAAGGTCACACGGTGAAAAGTAGCTGGTTACCTGGGTAGTGCCAAGACCCTTCAGCGAGCATATCAGAAGGTCATAGGGCGCAGCATTAGGATCACTTCATCATGCTAATTTGATGAGACGGCTTCTCGCTAGATTCAAAGAGCTTGGTTAAATGCTTTTGAATTTAGAGGGTTCTTTAGAAGAGGCTGTGGCCTTTATCTCATCTGCGATCGTTCTTGCAGATGGCGGTGTCACAATCCCTTCTCCAGAGCAGAGCAATGTCCTCTGCCTTGGCCAGCATTTCTCCTAGTTTAGCCAGCTCAAAGCACAGGTGGGCAGGCCAAAGTCAAAACGCAGCCCCTACTGCTGAATGCATGTCAAGCGCTCGTGTTCTAATGTCAAACCTTGGGGTTTTCTTGCCGTCAAGAGCAAGAGAGACACAAAGGGGGACAGGGAAAGAGAGCGAGTGTGTGTTTGATTTGATCATCCTCGTTTGATGTACCCCTCCTGCCACCACTCAACTCGTGCTCCGAAGTTTCATAGTTTTCCAGGAAGGACTAGTGCAGATCTTGTTTTGTCTTCAGGGGCGAACCAGGTTATGGAGAGCCACAAAACCAGCTGAGGACACTGATTATGAAGAGCTCCACAGGGGTGTTCCAATCAGGTGCTTGGAGTAGGTTCAATCATTCCAGTGCCAGTTACTGTCCTCCTTCGCATCTCAGGCTCCCCTTAAAAAGCATATCTGGGCGTTTTACAGGTTTGCTTCTTCAGCCTTCGTTGGGGAGGGCTTATCTCACGCAAAGCTTGGCAAAGACGCCTTGCCCCGGCATGTAGAAGAGGGGCCGGCCAGAATTCAGGCCGTGATGGAATCAACGGAACAACAGGTACGCCTTTGTATATGCTCATGAATAGTGTTAAGCCAGCAGGGATATAGTATTGAAAAGAAAAGAATGGTGCAAGGATTGTTCTTCTTATCTCGGTTTTGGCTGTCTGCTCTTTGGTATGACCTGCTTCCAAGCTGGTTTGTAAGTGTCATAGCTTCTTGCTGTTTCTTGTAGATCCAAGGTTGCAGATCTCAGACCTCAGCAAAGCCTCCATGGAAAGACAAAGGAGAATCTTCAAAAGTCCTTCTGCCTGAGGAAGTCCATATAGGTACTCTAGGAGACTTCTTTCTAAGTGGTGCAGCAATCAGAGCAACGCCTCGCTTAATATCATTTGCGACAGGAACCTGCGCGCCTGGCTGTCAGGGCAAAGAAGATGTGAGGAGCAGCCTCGAGAACCTTAACGCAGAGGATGAGATATGAAAGCTCTGCCCTATGCGAATGCCCACGCATCAGGAGCTGACTCCACCGAGTATCTTGTCACATTCTTGACCTTCCATTAAATCGTTCAAACTTTCTTCCCAGCTCAGGAACCTGGAGCGAGCGCTCAAGGCCTTCCCGAGCGCCTCATCAGACAAGCCCCCTGTCTCCAGCACGTGGGATCCCAAGCTTCCCCTGGACGAAGGCAGCTGCCCCCCTCGGGCTTGGTACACCGAGCGAGACGTCTTCGAGCTGGAAAGGAACTCAGTGTTTGCAAACAGGTGGCAGGCAGTGGGTGAGCCATTCCAGGGGCTTGGTGTTTCGGGCTTCATGCTTAGAAGATTCTACGTGTCTTTCTTGGAAAGGTGTCAGGTTCCTCTGGAGCCAAATTCATGGACATGGAAGCCCGCTTTCGAACTAGATTCTTTGTTCGTCGTTATATCATCGAATGCATGACAAAAGCAGGCTGGAATATCCGGAAGTAGCGCTGTCAGAACGCTGTTCTGGTGTACTTGGCCCCAGCATCCGTGGTTAAGCTTTATCTTACGTAAGAAGAATTGGCCGAGCTTCAGGCCGCTTTCTGGTATTTCTCCTCTCTGTGAACTGAGACGAATATAAGGCCGCACGAAAATAAGTATGCCATCAGCAAGAGCAGTCTGTTTTGGTCCTCATAACGCTGTCAAGGAGTCTGGACATCCGCAGTTTAAAGAGGAGGTTGACATCGGTTACTGGCCCTAGTTCTGTAGACGTTCTGAGAGTCACATGCATCCTGATTCTCTGCTCTTTGAGAACGAACAACGACCGTCTCTCGTGATCAGTCCTCTATCCTGCTCTCGAATTGAGGTCTATTCTTGCCCGTTCATTGGATGTGTTGCAGCTTGTTTCTGCAACGGCACTGCTCATCCACGTTCGCAGATTCGTCTGAGCTCAATCGTTCTTCAATGTGCCAGGGCCTTCCGAGAAAGTGAAGGAACCGGGGGCCTTCTTCTCCGGCAGGTGAGAGATCAACCTCGTTTCAAACCCCCCTGCAATTGGTTTTCAACTGAAGCACCTTGCTTGTCAAACAGTATTCGCTGTGCCTTTTGTGTTCAGTACTGTTGGTCAACTCGTTCTCAGAACCAGGAACGGAATGTTTCTGAGGTTGTAATCATCAAAACGGGTGCTTCGTAGGCAGCACTTGACTATCGACTTTTGGGACGTCCACGCTTTTAGGCGCCTTTTTCTGTCACGCTCGACCTTGCCCCCGGTCGCAGCTTGCTTATTTTGAAGGGCATCGACAACTCGACAAGGATTGCAGGGCGGCGACTCTGCATCCACGGTTGCTATGAGATAGAAGCACGTCGGGGAAAAACGCCGAACTCAAAGGTGGCAAACGTGCTTGAGTCACCTCTAAGGTCCAAAACAGCCCGTCTAAGCAAAGTCTGTTGGGTGTGCAGTTTCATGGGCCTTCAGTTCTTGGTGTGCCGAACGCTCCAGGGCGAGCTGAAAGCGTTCTCCAACACGTGCCGCCACAAGGGAACCGTCATCGCACAGGGGGAGGGCACCTGCCGCAACTTCGTCTGCCCCTTCCACGTGAGCCGTCCAATCGGTGGCGCTGTGCATGGAGATCTCACTTCTGATTCAGAAGCGAAGACCGATCCGGACGAGCTTAGCCGTTGGGGTTTGCTTCTTTCCGTCTCGTAGTCTTGTTGAGGAGCCTCTCAAAAGTGATTTGTGTCTAGCATTGTGCCGTCAGTCAAGAGTGGGGTGTAGGTTCGATCGGCTTTTGCAGAGAGACAACCAGAACAGGTCTTGAGTTTAGGTCTTTTAGGTTTTCTTAAAGAACCCGACTTTCCAGTCTGCCGCCTTCAGAGAATGACAAGGACATGTGGTTCGGGAGTCGGTGATGCAATAAAGATGGTTTGGAAGGGTCAGCCAAGTCCCGTTCAGATTGAGCAAGAGATCGGAACGGGCTTTGCACGGACCAAGATCGAGCCTACTCTTTTCCCGAGTATTTTCTGCCTCAAGCAGAACAAGTTATGAGGAAGCTATGCCGACCTTCTAGGTTCAACCCTTTCCCTCTCCCGAAAGCCGCTCGCGCAAAAAGACTCCATGCACCCAAAGTGTCGAACTCTATGACGTGCCAAGGTGACTTCAATACGTCTGGGTAGCTTCACTTATAATCGTATCTAAGAGAAGCCAAAATCTTGACGTCACTGCGTGGCCAGGAATGAATCGTTCTCTTCGCTCTGTGTTGCTTCAGGCCTGGACGTACAACCTGGACGGCTCTCTCATCGGCTCGAAGCACCACAAGCACATGAAGGACTTCAACCCCGAGGTACGTTTAGTGCCAGTACTATGGCTAAGCATCGTGCGGTCCTTCATAGTCATGAAGAGCGAGCATGACCTTTTCAACAAAGGGAGCATTCCATAGCTTCTGATGAGTGGCTTATGTATGCTTAGCTCTCAACTCTTTCGGGCCACATCGACTGACAGAAAGTGCAGATCCGTCCGTTTAGTTTAGGACGTTTCGAGAACTGCCCTCGAGCCGTTTCTGTGCTGTGAATCGGGCGCAAAAAGATCTTATGCGAGCACAAGAGTCCTATACAGTCTCAGCCGGCCCTCTCTCTGTTTTTCCTGACGACGCTGTTCAAGGCTCCGGCCCTCGTTGCAGTGGTTTGGTTCAGCTCACGAATAGTTGCTGTCATCCCATGTATGAGGGCTTTGCAAGAGCACAGGCCTCGTCCATTTCTGCGGCACGTCAATCAGCTTGTGCCACGTCCCGCAGGAGCACAGCCTCTTACCGCTTGACGTGGCCATCGCGGGACCGTGGATTTTGGTGCGGATGCCCAACTGGGGGAACAAGGCGCCCGCCAGCCCGGTCTACGTCAACGACGAGATGGCGCAAAATTGGCCCACCTCCAACGGTAAGCCTGTACTGCAGGAGCTCTCTTAAAGTTCTCCTCTTCTTAATTCCAAAAAAAGTTGTATTGCTATGAGAGTGGGAATCAGTAAGAGGGCGGTACACGTCTGGAGTATCTGTCCGCTTAGCCGACTATGTCGTGGGGAACAAGTGGAAGCTCCAGTGGCAAAGCTGAAACAGGCCGGTTATGAAGCTGTGTGGCCGAGAGATTTGCAAGGATTGCCCTTGCGGGGGAAGCGTTGCGGGACGAGTCCATCAGCTAGCAGATATGCTTTTAATAGGAAACAGCATCATCAACTGTACCCTGCCGATTAAGTACCAGGGCCAACAACAACTGGAGTTGCATATTGAAGGGCGACGTCGGTTCCTGCCGGCCCTGGTTCCTTGCTATACTGGAGGCAGCGACGAACGGCTACTCGAACCTTTGGCGACGTCAGTACGTGACGTCAGCCTGACGCCATTGCATCCGTTGGCTCTGGCAGGGACTGCGGACTCGCGGGCGGTGCAGGAGTGGGTTGGGGAGGCAGCGGGGCTGCTGACGCACCACCGCGTCATCTCGGGCGAGTACAAGTACATGAAGCGCCTCGAGTACGACATCGGATGCAACTGGAAGGTGGGCATGCTATCCTTTGGTATTTTGCGGGCAGACCATTCTCGAGCGACACATTTTGATGTGAAGCTACACCCGAGCCCGAAATGTCGTGGAGCCGTCCAAATGCTTTGTCGTGCGCTGCCTTCAGAAAGCAGAGGATGCATCTGAGCCTTTCAAAGCTAGAAATATTCAACTGGCCCAGCCTTCTCCTTGCACGGAATATTGGACTTTGAATGCAGGATTGTTTCTTAGAGGCCCCGGCTCAATTAGCGCAAAGAGCACTCGTGACCTTGCTCGTGTCATCTGGAGCTCTAATCTGCTGTGCGCAGAAATGTTTGGAAGCACCGTTTCAGGGTTTTACGATTTCAGGGCCGCCCAGTGGTTAGTCGTCGTGCTCTTGGCCAATGGGTCAGGAAATGGCCCGAGCTCTCTGTCACGACTGAATTGTCGACAGTGTGGTTCCCTGTCTTTAGCTTTCGCTTGTTTACTTGGTGCAGGCATACATTGACAACTACCTGGATGGGGGGTACCACATACCGTACAACCACAAGGAGCTCGCGGCCTCCGTTGACATTGACACTTACACCACCACGGTAAGGCGGCCAATCTTGCTTAGTTTATCTAATTCCATTAGCAGGAGTCACCATTGTGAAATGTGAAGTCGCTGACACGCTTCATCGAGTTTGCTCACAAGCATCATCCGACTCGCATCCCAACCGGACTTTTGTCTGATGTCTTAATCCATCCGCACAACTAGCGCCGGAGAATGTGTGGACGCCCCTTCGTCGTGATGAGTTAGAGTACCGCCGTATCGATCTCCAAAGAGAGCTAGGGGTCTGATAATTTCTCTCAAGCGGAAACGTCAATTGCTTTATGCATGACGTCTCTTTGCGGGCCCAATTAAGGTGCCTGATGCTTGAGAACTGAGACAGGGCTTCGTAGAGAGTCCTTTGTTGGAAGAGCTCGCGCTTATAGGGCCTAGCTGGTACCCACTCAAAGCAGAAAAGCTGATCCCGTATTGCTGGAAGCTTCGACCTCGAGTCGGGCTGTTTTCACCTTTGCTCCGATCTTCCAACAGGGACTTGTTCTGCTTTCTCCAAAACAATATCAAACGGTGAACCTCGAGAAGTCGGATCCATTCTAAGCCAGGGTTATTTCTCGCCACGTGGCGTGCAGTGCTTCTCCAAGGGCACGTTCCAGACGGTGGACGTCCGCAAGGTGGACGAGATCCGCGCAGACGCCCCGCAGGAGCTGTACACCCTGGTCTACCCTAACCTCCTCATTAACCGGTGCGCTGACCACTTTCTAAAGTCAATGACATTTGTTACGAAGTCTACTGGCGTTGTCTTCTTCGGCCTGCAATGAGCAGCGTTGTCGAGTTCGAGCATCAAAATGCTCTTTGGAGGGAATCCGCCGGATGTATTGGAAAAAGCTGGTTACACAGCCTTTCACCTTTGAGAAGTATTCGTTTGTTTCTCTGGTCAATATTCTCGTTCCGCTTGATCCTCTGAATTCTTCACACCGTAGAGCTTACGTGCTGTAAATTCCAGCTGCAGACCTCGCAGGTCCTGTCATCCATCTATAACTTCTTCCTCACATGGTCGGCTGTGCGTGCAGGTACGGCAACTGGGTTGATTCCTTTTGGGTGATCCCCACTGGGCCCACCAGCTGCCACGTCACCGTCGACTACTGGCTGGCCCCGCAAGATGCCGCCGAGGTGAGCTGGGGAATTCAAGTTGCCGTTATATGGCTTCAGGACTTCTGCCCGATTGGCATGGTTTCTGACTGGTTGTCCTTTCAGTCCAAGTGGTTGCGTCGTAAGTTGGGGGCCAATGCAAGTTGCAAGTGTCCTGGTTTAGTTGTTTTGGAACGCTGCTTGGCGGCTGCTCAACCCGTGCATTGTCTCGGCACCCAGCTTGGTCCTCCCTCGAAAGATTGTTTCTCCAATGAATTGTCTCAGATGCTCGAACGTTGACAAAGATATGTTCTCCGACCGTATCACGCATGGAGTCGAATGACTTTTCTCTTACAGACAGCTGTAAGAGGGAACTCATTCGACTCCATGCGAAGTATGCGGTTCGTAAGCTGTCAGCCCGTTGTCTTGCGTTGTGGTCAGCCCTGTGCCGACATGTGCGTGACGATGTGCAGATCAGCGACGAAACCCTGGAGGAGAACTGGGTCCGCACTGATGTCCTACAGGTAAAACATCGGTAATCGATCCTTCAAGAGTCAGACGGGTTTTGTAAGTAGCATTCTCGGAAAAGAGCTCTCAGAAGGAAGGAAAATGGTGAACAATGTGTCGCCTTTCCGATGAAAAGACATTGGAAACTCGACGAGATCAACCCGATAACATGGCACGAGAACCCGTTCCGGTTTGATAACAGCTCGAGTAGAAGCGAACGCCTTTATGACAATGTATTAATGAGCTTTGACCATCACCATCGCCGGCAACCCTGTAAGCGCCCAATTGATGCGCAAACTCAAACGGTGTCTTTTACTTGCTCAGGACGAAGACGTGTTCCTCTGCGAGGCGGTGCAAAAGGGCCTCGCCTCTGGCATGTTCGAGTCCGGACGATACGTGGCGCCGCAAGAAGAGGCACCGCACCACTTCCACCGACTGATCCACTCTGACTTCGTTGCTTATGAAAAGGATCTCTAACCAGCTAACTCCCTGCTAATCAGTCTGATACGGCTGGACTGGTCCCCTGATCAAATGACCTGAAGAGGTTTCCTAGCATGATGAACTTTTGTCTGCTAACGCCGAATTTTTCGAAGTTAAGATAGCGGTCGATTGGGCTGCAGAAAGTTTGGGCTTGGTCAGACAGTCAGGCCACGGATTGCCTTTCGAACTTTCTCGTAGAGCTCAAGAAATGCTTCAATCGTTGACCAAGTGTAGGTTGAAAGCGATTTTCTGCGAGTATACATAGCGTCGTTTCTGCGTAGTTCATAAAGCGCGACTCTCGACTCTCTCTCATAATTGTCCTCTGATGCTCGCATATATCAGCCATACTTTGTCTAGGCCTTTGCTCGGATATCTCATCATGGCATGCTTATCGTCCCTTTTGCTGGTGGAAGATTGAAGAAAATTGGAAACATTCGAGTCAGCCTGGTGTCGAAGTGATTCGTTCCAGCAACTGCCATGCGCGGTAAGTCCATCATGTCATGGTCGTTGATTAAGCTGGAGGCTGGGTTTTATGCCGGCTAGGCCCTAAAATCATTGGTCAATTAGAGGGAGAGAAACTAAGCTGCATCAACAAGTCGGCGCTTGGAACAACTGGCAAGTTGCTGAACTGGGTATCTTGAGTATAATAGCTGTCATGACTCATGGGGCAGGGACGTCCTGACCTTCTGAATTCTTCTCTGATACTAATAACATGCATATTAGACCAAAGATCTGCAGTTCTTCGCCCAATTTACAAGACAGGACTCGGATTCAGCGCAGTGCAATCATGACACGCTGACACGATGTGACGACAGCTCAAGCATTCAGGACCCGGGCCCCCGCGGCCGGCCTGCTCTAGCCTCTTTATCGGAAATTGGAATCCTAGCTGACGGCGTGATTTGGTCGCGAATCGTCACCAAATCTTGAGATTCTGGCGGTCCTTATGCCC